ACCGGCTGCAGGCAGCTCGTCACTCAAGGGACGACCCAGCTCAGAGCAATTCGCAGGAGAACAGCTCGGTATACCATAGGAGGGCTTCCTGCCCGAGGTTAAGGCACTCTGAGGCGCCCCGAGTTCAGGGTACCCTAACCTCTCTTGACGAACTCCTCCCAATGGACCTCGGGCCACTCTCAAGCAAGAATGCACCGATTCTTCTCCGGACGCCTCGAGGCACAAAGACCTCGGGTTGGCTAGCTCAGCATAACCGGCTACAGGCAACCCGTCACTCAAAGGATAGCCCAGCTCAGGGTAATTCGCAGGAGAACAGTTCGGTATACCATTGGAGGGCTTCCTGCCCGATCGCCGTACTCGACAAACCTGTGGACAACAGGCATGTTCCCCTCACCGCGCCTGCCACCTTTAGAAAGACGTCCCACACTTGACAGACACGTACCCTGCACGACGACCCCGTGCGTGCCACCTTAGCCCTGCCTGTAACGGCTGTGACAGACTGATAGTGGCGGTTATACCTGTCCTGTCAGAGGTCAGAGGGCCTGAAGCAATGGAATTCAGTTATAAGGGGATTATTCTCAAGGAACAAGGTATCTTCGAATCACCTGCGTAGCTTGCACTCTTAGCCTTCGTTATCCTTTTGCTTATTGCACTCAATACTAACTTAAGCGTCAGAGCGTTCCCGTCGAGAAACCCCCCGGGAGTTCTTCCTTTTTCCTCTCATCTCAGGTACCTCTCAGGAGCCACGCGAGCGCCAGGTAGAAGTGACCGGATTGCGCTACATCAGATATGATTCTCTAGAACATAATGGCTTTAAATATCATTGAAAAATACAGAACTTTTGAATATGACAGTGACCTTAAAAATAATAACATAGGTTGGCCATAGGCAAATCGAGTAAACTGCTGGCTGTCGAATGGTCATGGTCCATGGTTATGGGATAAAACAGAGACGGAGTGGCGTTCAAAATTGTTCCAACTTTCAACTTGCAATGCTGCTGCAGGCACCACCGCACCAATGTCCAATGCTACTGCAATGCTGAAAAGTCAACTGGAACTGATCAGCCGTCTGATCGTGTTAGATTCTCTTTTCTCATCCTGTTTCTGTGTAATAATATGACACACACCCACACATTGGTACTTGATTAATGCCATACGATATTTTTTGGGCAATTAACCGTCGTCCGATTAATTCCCGATGTATTCCTAACAGAGCTGACTTCTGTTCATCTCGCAGTCGAGACGGGATCTGCTCCTTACAAATGGGCGCTTCACATGCATATCCACCCATTGAAAATATATGTTCTCAATACATGATAGGATGTGCGTGTGAGGCGCCCGGTATGAAGAACAGATCCGGTCTCCTCCAGTCACAGGCAACAGAGAGGGAGAGTGAGAAGGGCATCCCACGTGGAACAAAAAACGAAACGGGATTCAGTCAGTGCAGAACCCGTTTCAACAGTCTTGCATTATGAATATCTCCTCATAAAATAAAACACAGAAATATCGAAATATTACCGATGCAAGGCTGTTCACTGACTGAAGCCGATCTGCAACTGATGATTCACAGCAAAAAAGCAGAAAAAAACGACATCTGCGCCTCACAGAGGGCCTCACTAACGCCCTACTGTTACAAGTGTTTTCGAGTGCCGCACGGGGCTCCAGCGTCTAACCGCGTGACACTACAGCATATCCCAACCGTGTATTGAAAATATGTGGAGCGTTGTAGGCCTTCTGTGGGACGCAGATGTGATCTCGAAAAAAACATTGCTCTTCGGACTTCGCTAGTCGACCCGTTCAGCAAACAGACAACAGTCAACAGCGCCCCAACAAACAAAACCCAGATAGGCAGAAAGGCCAGAATATATATGCGCGCCGAAAGAGGGGCGGAGAGACGCCGCTGATACGCTGCAGTACCAAGCAAGCGACCCAACGGGCAGGAGTACCAGGCAATCCAGATAACAGTCTTGACCGTCTTTTTTCTTTTTTTATTATCCCTGTAAACCCTAGCTAGATAGCATTCACGGGTTCATACCTGGGTCACTACAAAAAGTAGAGCTGTTAATTATAACAAAATCCCGTTCTCAGTTATAAATTTCGCTAACACGAATAGATGTGATGATTTGAGCTCTGAAGCTGATGTGGCGCCTTGGAAGGCAAGTTTTCCTGTTCAATTTCATATCGCAGTTTTGATTTTTTAGTTTGAATTTGTTCTTGTGCTCTTAATTCACACTTGAAGCTTCATGTCTAAAAGAAGGGTTTATATATTTGACGTGGTTCAATTTCTTCATTAAACTGTTAAATAACATTACAATTGCATGTTTTCTTGTTATTTTGGTATGAACTATGAAATAGTAATTTTATTTGGGTATTGAATGATTTTGGAAATGAATTCCTGGACCTGATTTTGTATTTGATCATTCTTTCTTACTTCTTCTTTTTGGATTTTCGACAGTTTCGTTCTAATAACTAATTTAAATCTGTCCATGCTTTCTAGATGTGTGTTATTGACGCTTTGATCTTTCCGGATCTTGTAAACCGAGGAAACTTATCGTTTCTTGGAAGTAGAACGTTGACTTTTGTTTCTCAGTTTTTTGGGTAGATTTCGTACTCGTTAAGAACGTTTATGTGTATGTTTCTGCTAGTTGGACTTGGATTCCCCAAATTTGACGCTCTTGTTTTCTTTTGGAATGTCAGGATTTGGTTATCGAGACGAGGTCAATTGCGTTTCTGCGAAGGCAAGTTTTTTCTTTGATGACGGAGCTAGCTTAGCTACTGTTCCCCATTTGTGTTTATTGTCTCATATTTGGAATGATAGAGAACGGGCATAAGGTTCAGGGGGTAGGGTTCTGAGAGTTTTGGAGATGACGACTATTGGTAGACGCAAGTGATCATGTAGTATTGGTAAGACTGCACTTCTCAATGATGATTTTGGAAAAGGATCAGATAGCAGAATGACAATTGGGAGGGTGATCGGAGAAACATCTCTTCAACGGGATTTCAAGGATTTGAGTGTGTCAAAAAGCCTTGTAAGAACTGTTAGTCAGAGGTGGAGTAAAAAAAGTCATAGAGGAGAAGGTGAGGAAGATGGAAACCAGAGAAGCGTCTTTTCAGGATGCCTTGGCTTGTATGGAAGGGGTGGCGGCTGCAAAGTATGTGCTGACATGAGCGAAGAGCTTGGGGATGGAGTTGCCAGAAAGAGGTCGAATTCTGGTGATGAATGGAAAGGATACCAACCAATCTGTGGTACCGAAGAAACTAGAGTTGATTGTTTTTCATATAGGGTGTCAGAGAGGTTGTGGAAGAGAAATAGTAAAAAGGAAAAGGAACTTGAAGAAGCAGTACCAAGTGATAGAATAGATTTTTTGCTTCCGGATGACATTTTAGAAATGTGCTTGGTGAGGCTTCCATTGGCCAGTCTCATGACTGCTCGCCTGGTCTGCAAGAAATGGAGATCTTTGACTACCACACCACGGTTTATGCAAATGAGGCATGAAGGTTTGTATCAGAGTCCATGGTTATTTCTGTTTGGTGTTGTAAAGGATGGTTATTGCAGTGGACAGATACACGCTTTGGATGTAGTTCTTGATCAGTGGCATCGAATCGATGCTGATATTCTGAAGGGGAAATTTCTGTTCTCGGTTGTCAGTATTGGGGATGAAGTTTATGTTGTTGGAGGTTGTTCTAGCTTGAACAACTTTGGAAAGGTTGATAAGAGCTCATTCAAGACACACAGAGGTGTATTCATATTCAGCCCTATAACCAGATCGTTCCGCAAAGTAGCATCTATGAAACATGAAAGGTCGGTTCCTGTTTTAGGTGTTTTTGAGGTCAGTTCTGATTGCCCCATCTTCCAAAGTTGGCAAGACCGGCAAGATTGGCGCTTTCCCAGGTCACGGATTGGTGGTATATCAAATGTTTATGAGGATCCTCACAGGCTTTCGCTCAGACGACAACTCAGGGATGCTTTCAATGAAGATGAAACTTTGTTGCAACCAAAGAGAAAGCCATCCATTATTGCCAAACAAGGCAATCGGCCCAACCTGGATGGTTGTAAGAGGTTTATTCTGATTGCCGTAGGTGGTCTAGGATCTTGGGATGAGCCTCTGGATTCTGGCGAGATCTATGATCCAGTATCAAACAAATGGATGGACATCCCAAGGCTGCCCAGAGATTTTGGTGTTCCTTGTTCTGGGGTTGTTTGTGATGGGAAGTTTTATGTTTATTCTGAGACTGACAAGCTTGCCGCCTATGACTTAGAAAGGGGTGTCTGGATTGTTATAAGGACTGCTCGGCCCCCTCCCCGTCTTCATGAGTATTGCCCAAAGCTCATTTCTTGCAATGGCAGGCTTTTCATGCTCTCTGTCTCCTGGTGTGAAAGGGATGGCCAGCTAGGTAGGAGAGAGAAAGCCATTAGGAAACTGTGGGAGCTAGATCTTATGTTTCTTACATGGACGGAGGTTTCTAGACATCCTGATGCACCCATGGACTGGAATGCTGCATTTGTTGCAGATAGGAACTGTATATTTGGGGTTGAGATGTTCAAGATATTTGGTCAGGTGTTGGACTTCCTTACTGTTTTTGATGTATCATATGTGGGATCTAAGTGGAGCCGTATCTCCAGGAAGCATGTGGCACATGAACTGGATGCTTCATCTTGCATAACCAAGTCAATGGCAGTGCTACATCTGTAGAGTACTTGGTCGAACTTTGTGACTCATGAAGAATGTTTGCGTTCTTAAGTGCTCGCACAATGTCCTTTCTCACATCAAATTTTCTATTTAGGCATCTGTATCTTGGTATGCTTGTGGTTGCAATTTCTGATTCAAATTCTTAATAGATGCATTCTTTTCTCTTCCTTGCCTTCTCACGTAAATTGATCACCAAGAGTAGAAATTGATTCTGTTTCTGTATGCCCTTTTATTACAGTAAGTTTGTCTTCGCCAGTGCGGAACATCTTTTTGGTTTTTATTGCTTGTGATTCAGTTTGTTGTTCTGCTGGATGCCCCTTTTTTAATCGCATGATTCCCACTTTAAGTATTTATTTACTTTCTTTATCCTTATTCATTAGCTTATTTGGAAAACAGATTGGTTGAGCCACGGAATGGTAGTAATTAAAAAAAAGGGTAAATTACAAAGATCCCCCTTGTACTATAGGGTCTATGACAAAGACCCCCCTGTACTATGACCATGAGATAAAGACTCTCTTCCATTAGTTTTCCATTGAACAATATTTTTTAATCCCCATATTTCCTTGTAATAAGGACAATTGAGAAAAAAATACTGTTCATGTTCCCGACCTCACATACATGAACAACAGTGGTGGTAATTCATTATACCTCAGATTCCTTCACATCTCTCTCTCTCCCCCGATTTCTCTTCTTCTCCTTCCACTTTCTCTCCTCTTTCATTAACACCCAGGCTGCTTTCAACAACAGCAGCTAAGTCGAATACTTGAAACTAGATTGCTTCACAGAAACCCGTTTGTTTTCCCAACACAAGCTCTCTCTTTGGACTCTGAGCGTCTCTCTGTTCATTTCTTGGCCCTGCGCAGCTGTAGAGACTTCAAGGCTCCCATTATCTCCGGCGCATCGATGTTCCATCTGCGACTGCTCCATCACATTTGTTTTCTTTTTGATAGCTAACTTCAGATCCTCAGCACAGCCGCATCCTCATCAAGAAGGCTCAACTAGTTAGTAAACCAAAGTCAACAAAAAGCTAAATGCATTCTGCTACTCTTTAATTAGTTAGGTCAGTCAGATCACTAGAAATCAAGAGAATTTACTCAATAAGGGAAAGAAAAGACCCTGTCCTTAGGACCCTTCTTCTTTGTCTTTTCCTATCGTAAGTAATGTGTTCGCTAAAATGTGGCAACCACGAGCACGAAGCAGTGAATTAATGAGGAGAAGAGGAAGGTGGGTACCGAAAGGTTGTGCCGCCCATTTTAAGGACGGAAATTCTCATAGCGCTGCCCATTTCCAAGTTGACAAGGTTGTCCACATCGGAAAGTGTGGGTTTCTTCAGGACGTCAGCGAGAATGGGATCATCTGAGAGGGCTGAGAGCGTTGACTGTAATCTAAGAGGGCTGTCATCAATGAGCTCGCCAGTATTTCGTCGATTTCAGGATCGGAACCCCACCTCAGAGCCTCTTCCTTGTGGCGGATACAGGCAGCGATCTCGTCTGGGTCGAAATGCTCTGCTTGCTGGAACTGTAGCAAACACCCTCCAGGCTCGGCCTTTTTAGCTCGCCATTCAATCACATTTGCTCCGGTGAAACACCAGCCCTGTAACCACATTCGCCTCTACAGTACTTGCCGCTACGACTACTCGTACGCCGATGGGTCTAGAACAAGTGGGCTTTTTGCCACAGAGACGAAGACGTTGAATACGAGCTATGGAGGATGAGCAGACGGGATTCGAGCGTTGCGGTGCCGTAGAATAAAAGGTCAGACGAACTGAAGCCGTTGAAGACAAAAGGTGATCGGAGGAGCAACGTTTTGGCTTAATAAAAACAAGAGTACCCGATGCAGAAGGTGGGCAGTCATTTTCAGCGGAAGCAGCAGAAGAGAAGAAGCCGCTTTGTTGCTGGCCAGAGAGATCTGAATGAAGTTCTGAACCAATGAGCAAGTGGAGTAGAGAAATAAAAGAAAGAGAGACGTTGTTTGATAGATGAACAGTGTATTTCGCCGCCTGATCGTGTATATGAAGTCGAGGAAGATGAACAGTGTTTCCCCCCAATTATTCGAATATTTATTACAATGGTAGTATTGGGATTACAAAGACCCCATAGTATAGGGGGGTCTTTGTAATTTACCCTAAAAAAAGAATATTAACGACCTTTAATTTTCTTGAAATATTTCTAAACACAATTGAGAAAGCTGCTGCTCTGTATGACTAAATGCCCTAGATCCCTTGGATCCCAGGTCGCTGCTATAACCACATAGAGACATCACTGACAGGTTAGCTGGCACCTTGGTATTTATAGGAGTAATCAGACAGATCTTACAATTGAGTTTTCTCATTAAATTCAAAGAAAGTATCCGTTGGTATATCTCTAGGAGTAACTAGGCATCTGTTTGGAGCCTTTGCCGTTGCTCCAGAAAAAGGCGTTACATCAGCGTTACGTACGAAAAAATGGTGCTCCAAGAAACAGCCATCTGTTTGGAGCTGTTTTTTCATAGAAAACGGTATTCTAAGTCATGTCTTGGAAATTGGGAAGGCATGGCTTGGGGCAATGTCAAATTTGATGTTTCTTGGAGTTGCATCTTGTTGCTGCTAACGGAGCAGTGATGTGGTACTGGATAATGGGTAGAAGTGCAGAAAACGTTTCCTGTAGTATTGATACTAAACAGAAAAAGTTATTGTTCCAGGAAATGTCCTACTTGACAGCAACGAATCCAAACGAAAAAAAGATAGAAAACAATGTTTCCAACCCATACATCAACATCTGTAACATCAATGCCAAACATATATTAGACGAACCCAAATATCATTGATTTTTATTAATGGAAAAGAACGTAAAATTCCATATCATTATCATCTTCCTCTCTTTTGGGTTATTTCCATTCTTTAGTACAGATTGGTTATGTCATATTCTTCCTGAAGAACTTTAATACTCTTACAGGGATATTGATATGCCTTTCTATTTTCTTAATTTGTGATCCTTTAATTATAATCTGAATGTATTGAAAGTTGCAGGATGCATGGCTTCTGACATGTGTTCTTTCGTTTGATTATGTGATTTTCTCTGTATTTTTGTGTTCGAACAAAACAATGAATTCAAACATCCAAAAATAATGATGCCTTGCCAGATGTATTTTTGTGACATATGGTTAAATCTGAATGTATTTTTGTGACATATGGTTAAATCTGAATGTATTTTTGTGACATATGGTTAAATCATACAATGACTGGACAAAGCCCATAGGCAATACCTCGACTTAGGGGTGTCCATTTCCGGATCACCGCAAATTTCCGGGTTTGGGCTTACTTCCGGTTCAATTATGATGCCTTGCCAGAAATACATGATATCAGAAATTCTTATAACCAATCAATACATCATAAAAGGTAGTCAATCATGTGGCCTCTATATTTATATCTATCTATTTTTTATTTCTTTAATTCTAGATAATTCTACCTAATGGGCATACCGATTAAACAATGAGCACTCAAGAGAGAGAGAGAGAGTTTTGTTTTTCCATTAATGACTTTCCTGCCCTCTCTCTATTGCCTATTGATCTACACTAGTTTTTTTGTCTTCTTTTATTTAAAACATCCTTTATTTATCGATAGTGACTTTTTGTTTCCCATGCATGCTTATTGTTTTGAATATTTAATAATAATTTAATGTTCGGTTGAATTACATTAATAAAGTTTTAAGATTATTCAATAAAAAAAGTAGAGCATAGGAATTTGATCACTATCATTAGGGGTGCAAATTAAATTGCAATCAAATGGGCTAAACATAACCTAAAATGCAATAATTGGGTTAGGCTGCTTAGACCGGCTTGGCTCAAATTGAGAATATATAGGACTCCTTATACTTCAATAATTTCACTTAACAAACTCAACCCCGTGCATTGCACGGGTTATGACCAGTAATATATAATATTGGGAGCCTGAACCATGCCCTTCATTATAGGAGCTAAGGAGCTAAGCCTGATTAGCCATGCATCGCACGGGGCTGATGTAAAACTTGATCATGTTTTACGGGGAATCATAATCAAAACATGCATGTCATGCATATTTCAAGTTCCAATTTTATAACTTCCTACTCTGCAAATTTCAGGAGAAAGCAACCTTGAGAATGTGAGAAGAATTTAGGAGGTAGAGGTTGAAGAGGAGGGATGGGTAGACCGGTAGAGTAGCAAAGACCATTCACGTAGCTATGCATCAATTGGTACAAATACAGCTGTGCTATTGCAGCCTATCTCCTCCTATATATGTATTTCAAACAAACCGTTTTCCAAGACCATAGACCATGGTTTTCAAAATCGGACCAGGCCAGACTGGAAAAATTGGGAACCGGTCAGGCCATTTTTCTTTAAAACCGGAATTTTTCCAAGAAGGCATTGATTTTGGTCAGCAAATCGCTGACCCAAGCGATTAACTATTCAAACGATTTTAACCGTTTTTCATTTTTTTGTTAGAACGGGCCAACCATTCGACCCGAAAACCTTGCCACAGACAACGTTTTATCTCTTCCTAAACCTGTCAGGGTGACTACCACAATAGAGTATAGGCCTCAAGCTTAGCTCATCTAAAACGATCGAAAACTTTGCAATTGTCTCGCATCAGTGGTCTAGTGCTTGAATAGTACCCTGCCCCGGTACAGACCCTGGTTCGATTCCCGGCTAGTGCAAATTACCTTTTATTAGTTCTTTCTATTCTTTTGTGGTTTCGTAGTTCGTGGATTCGTGCAATAATGTACTTATGTACGTACTACATACCGTTTGACGGAAAAGTGAAATCTTCAGCTACAATCCAATGAAACGGTGCTACAGATGATCGGCCACAGTGACAATCATTTCAAATTTCAATGGGGTCGAATCTTCTCTCAGTTGTCTAATCCAATCGTCGAGACTCGAGAGTATGGCTAGCAGGGTAAGGTGTGACACCGCGCAACCCAATTGAAATCGCGATCGGCAATTCCATAGATATAGGCTAGCAATTAGTAAATAGCCTAATATGGTTCGTTCTGATTGTAAAGGCACATTTTATACTTTCTGTCTGTTGAAGGAGCGGGAAAAAGCGTAGCTTTAGAAAACGAACCAGAGAGAACAGCCCGTCTACCGTTGGGCGGCCGTCCATGCCCAGCGTCTCCAATACCACAAAACTGGCCATCTTCTCTGCAACCCATCCAAGAATTCTTCTCAGATTTCAATCGAGACCCTTCTCATCTTCCTCAGTCCCATCTCATCAGCATATTGCCCATCTCATCCTTGATCAGAAATCTCCATCTCAAGCCCTCCAGACCTTCAGATGGGCCGCCAAACTCCCGAATTTCATCCACAATCAATCCACCTACAGAGCTGTGATCCACAAGTTGTGCACCTTTCGGCGATTTGAAACTGTAAAGGAGCTGCTCGACGAAATGCCTGGTTCAATAGGGTGTCCCCCTGACGAAGACGTCTTTGTCACGATTGTCCGAGGGCTTGGTCGGGCCCGGATGACTCGAGAAGCGACTAAGGTACTTGATTTGGTTGCTCGATTTGAAAAGGACCCGTCTTTGAAAATATTTAATTCGATACTGGATGTTCTTGTGAAGGAAGATATTGATTTCGCTAGGGACTTTTATAGGAAGAAGATGATGGGATGTGGAATTCAGGGTGATGATTATACTTTTGGGATCTTGATGAAGGGTCTCTGCTTGACGAATAGAATTGCCGATGGTTTTAAGCTTTTGCAACTGATGAAATCTCGAGGCATTACGCCAAATACCGTGATTTATAACACCTTAATCCATGCCCTTTGCAAGAATGGAAAGACTGGGAGAGGTCGCAGTTTGATGAGCGAGATGATGGAGCCTAACGAGGTCACTGTCAATGTTCTGATATCGGCATATTGTCGGGATGGAAATCTGGTTCAAGCCCTCGTGCTGTTGGAGAAGAGCTTCTCTCTAGGGTTTGTACCTGATGTCGTTACAATTACCAAGGTGGTTGAAATTCTCTGTAACGAAGGTCGTATTAGAGAGGCTGTTGAGGTTTTGGAAAGAGTGGAGGAGAAAGGTGGCACAACCGATGCCGTGGCTTACAACACTCTGATTAGGGGCTTTTGTAAATTAGGGAAAGCAAACGTTGGGTGTCGATTCTTGAAGGAAATGGAGAGTAAAGGCTGTCTTCCCAACGTACACACATACAACGCATTGATCTCTGGTTTCTGCGAGTCTGGAGATTTTGATTCAGCTCTTGATTTGTTTCGTGAGATGATAATAGATGGGATTAACCCGACTTTTGGCACATATGACACATTGGTCAGAGGCATGTGTTCAGGAGGAAGAATGGAAGATGGGTTTAAGATTTTGGGTCTAATGGAAGAAAGTAAAGGGGGTTCAGGAGGTCAAATTAGTCCTTATAATGGTGTCATATATGGTCTATACAAGGAAAACCGTTTGGATGAGGCACTTCAGTTTCTCACCAGGATGAGAGGTTCTTTTCCAAGAGCTGTTGATAGGAGCCTGAGAATATTGGGTTTCTGTGAGGAGGGAAATATGGAGGAAGCAAAGAGGGTCTATGATCAGATGATCCGGGAAGGTGGTATTCCTAGTGCTCTTGTCTATGATCGATTAATTGGCAAATTGTGCCAAGGAGGCGATGTGAGGGTGGCATTTGACCTAATAAATGATATGATTGATCATGGTTATTTTCCCATTGCATCTACATTCAATGAGCTCATCAGTGGGTTTTGCAAGCAAGGTAAAGTAGGAAGTGCTTCAAAGTTCATGGAGGAGATGGTTGAGAGAAGATGTTTAACTGATACAGGAAGCTACAGTCCCCTTATTGATGCTCTTTGTAAGAAGGGTTATTTTGAAAAAGCTGTGGTGCTTCTGCTGCACATGGTAGATAGAGGTGTTACTCCCGATTATTTTATATGGAACGCTTTGCTTCTCTGTTTGAGTCAAGAAACAATGTGGTTGGAAAGTAGAAACATCCCTCGTGTAAGTAACCTATTAAACTGGATTCATGAGAATTAATCAAATTCATTGAACCCGTCCTTTGTAGTTAATTGTTGCTATAGCTAATGAAATCATAAAGTGCGAAGAATCGACTCCCCAGCCCCAGGTAACCATCAATGCAAAATGATGTTGATGTGATAATGCATAGAAAATTGTAATGTGAAAACATCATGCTGTCACCGTTTTTGTGCTTGAATCCAATTCCAGATGTAAAACATGGCTATGAACTCATTTCTGTTCTCCCTTTTCTGTAGTCCAAGAATAAGATATATTAGAATGTGATTCCTGCCTGTTCTTATGGTTATTGAAATTGTAAAATGCGATTACAGAAATATTACAGAAAAAGAATATACAACATATTTCCACTATCAATGCTACTGCAACTTCATTTGTCCATGTAATAAATGGGTGGTGTAACTCTGTGGGAAGCAATTCAACCAACAAATGAACATATAACATCTACAAATGGCAACACAAAAGATGTATAGAAAAGATGGATTGCAGAAGATTCAGCAGTCTTCCAAGACCAAAATCACAATGGTGATATTAATTCTCCTCCTGATGGTAGGAAATTTGAAAATTGATCAATACATGTGACCCCTTGCAACCATCAACTGTCTCCATGAATGAACGACATGAAGTAGCTATAACATGCCTAGCCCATGTTCTGAAATATGCCAGAGAAATTTGGTATCTTATCAACATGCTTCAAGGCACGCTCAGCAATCTGCCGAGTTCGATAGTCACCATGCCGAAATGCATCAACCAGTGCTGTGCTCACATTGGGGTCACCAGAAACTTCATATGCTATGTCTTCTGTCCTAAGAAGCCTTTCAACAGCATAAACTGCTTGCTTCCTCAGGGTCTCTGTCCGATTCTCAAGCAATACTTCAATTATTTGTTTGACCCCCTCCATCTCACACAAGATCATCACCCCTTGTTGAACATCAACCTCATCATCCAACAATGAGCAGATTGCTCCAAGTGCTGCCTCAACCACCTTTTCATTTGTGTGGTCTAAACAAGCCACTAACTTCCCCACAGCTTTTCCTTCAACAAGACAAAAAGATTCCTTCAGTGAACAGATTCCATGGTGGAGGCGGCAAAATCCAGTCACTACTGGTTGTTTGCTGAAACAAGGAAAGATTGAAGCACAAAATCCTGGTTTTGGAAACTCTGGAAGTTCTGTCAGACGTTTGGACTCTCGTGAAAGGTTGTCCAGAGCCAAAGCAGATACCATCTGTACCTTATCAAGTCCATTTGTCTGAAGTAGATCAATGAACAATGCAGCAAGATTGTACTCACGAGCCAGAGCTACAGCCTCAGGCTCATCAGCTAAGACAAATGTGAGCCTTGCTAAGACACGAACAAGTCCTTCTAAATAGGGAGTCACAAAACGGCTACCTCGAGTTTCCCCTTGTCGAATTCCTACCACCTTGGAGACTACCAACCTAAAGGCACCTTCATCCAACAGCTGCCGGGTGAGGCCCAAATCCCTCTCTGGCAGGTCTGCTAACAGGCTAACAGCTGCTGCTTGCTCTTCTGTGATGCCATTGCTTTCTGAGATGATTTGGATCAGGCTACCAAGCTGACCAGCAGTACCACGTAGGGCATCAGCTAGCTCTTGACCCATGTGGGGTGAGAGGTTCTGGAGGAGTTTTAAGGAAGCCAAACGTAGATCCTTCTGTGGAGCTTCAATAAATTGGATCAAACTTATGGTAGCACCAGAGCTCTTAATGGCAGAAACTACATTCAGGACAGTTGCGGAAGAACTAGTTAGTCCAACAAGGACTTGAAGTAGCTTGCACTCAATGGCAGGGCCAGTGTTGCTGATAAGATGAAGTAGGTTGTGCACTATGTCTTCAGAGACTAGAGTCTGGTGGTCTGGTCCTACAGGGATGGAATCAAAGTCATAGCTTGAGCTCACAACATTAGCAAGAACTGTTGCAGAGATCTCTTTCAGCTTCATAGGAAGCTGATTAACACCAACAGTGAAGAGGTCCTTGACTAGTGGAGGAAGGACTCCAACTTCTATTAAGATTCTGGCACTTGTCTCGTAAGATGAAATCTGGTTCAGGGCCTTCAGAGCAGCTTCTCTCAACTGAACATTTCCACTTTTCATGACATGAACAAGTGATGAACCCAGTGTTCTGGTCACTAAAACTTTCTCATCATTGTTCAGAACCAGCTCACCGAGGTGTGCAGCCATAGCTAATTTAGTTTCAGGGGAACCTGCGCCAATTCTCTTTGTGGTGAGGTTACAAGGAAAAGTAATAAAGAGCAAGGGAAAATATCCACACAATTAATATACTGAAATGCATGATAATAATTGAATTGGTTAAGCTTTCAAGAATCTTTGTAATCAGTTCCCAACCATTGAAAATTTGGTCTATGCACACCATTCAACTTTGACAGCTCTTAGAAAACAAGATGAATTTCTTTATCAGCATTCTAAGAGTTATAGAGAATGACATTGCTAATAGGCAAGGAAAGTCTGATCAGACCATCTTAATCTAACATTGGTTATATGTCTTTTCAATCAGAGGAAAAATAGCACATCCTGTTAAAAAAAGATGTTTTTCCATTTTTTAGCTGACCCCATATGGTTGGGACAAGGCTTAGATGATGACCTTTTCCCAATAGAATATGGGTATGGACTGCAGCTCCTAAGAAATATGAGAAAGGAATGAGAAGAGAAGCAACTGTTGAGAGAGAGAGAGAGAGAGAGAGAGAGAGGAAACACCTTCAAGCAGGAGCGCAAGAAGAGGTTGCAATCTACCATTTTCAGCCATCTGTCGCACATTGTTCTCACACTTCCCCAGATTGTCCAGTGTTTTTTCAGCTTTCTCAACAATCAAAATGTTTTCAGAGTTGCTGCTTGACATCCCAACTAGTATAAGAATTGCACCATTGACAGCACCAATCTTTTCGCACAGAGTTTCAGATTTTGAGAGCTCATAAAGCAGAGACACAGCTTCCTCTCTCTCCTTGGAAAGCTCATGAGACAAGAACTTGACAATTGTACGTATGGTGTCTCCTTCAGCAATTACCTCCTGTAAAACAAGAAAATTTGTTCAGAACACACAAAAACAATATCCATATTTGCTAGAACATGAGCGAATCCCCAAAGAAAACCAGTAAACCTGCAGACAACCTTATTATCTGCATCCTCCTCTGCAACCATACGAAGGGTTTCCAGAGCTTTACACCGGACTTTCCGACTGCTGCTCTTCAACATGTTGACAATCATGGGTATCAGCTCAAAACCACCATGCTTGTTATATCTACTTTTCTGGCAAATGTACTGAACATACTTCAAAGCATGCAGAATATCATGCTCCGAGCTGACCAGAGAGAGTGACCTACGGGCAATATCAATTTGTGCAGCTTCGTTCCTTGCAGTCCATTCTTCGATTGTTTTTCGTAGAGCTATGCTAGGGTTCAACTCGGTACTTCTTAATTCTTTCAATGTCAATGGGCAAACAAGTTTCCTTCCACTCTCCCTGCATTCCTTAAACCACTTTTCAATTGCTTCCCGCTCAAAAGTCTGCCCACTTTCTAATGTAACTGGGTCACGCATTACTTGCTTTGTTAGAGGGCAAACAAACGCATCATAAATAGGCTCGATATGTATTTTCTCAAAGTGGTAGCTCTCATCAGACGGGCTTCCATGGTCATAACTTCCATCCCAGCTGTCTGCCATCTCTTATGGGAAGCCTATTGCAACCTATGTTAAGGTAAAAGATAATATCACAGATTCCTCCACTCTGTTGTAAAAGTAGATCAAATAACCAATATGCGTACCAATATCAGTTAAAATAGCCCAAACTGCCAAGGCAAGCTGCAAATGAACTCCTGAAACGTCAAGAAAAGTTTGTGAGAAAGAACAGAACTGATTATTCCAATTCTCAATATAAGATTCCATGGATTTTTTTTTTAATTCTCCGTCTCCTCTCTCTATCTAGGGAGAGGATGTAGTTTTCCCCCTTAATCATCGTGAACCAATTAGAGGAAATGCAATTATTATTCTTGTATGCAACCTTAATTATTGACTCTACCCAATTACTCCTCATTCTACCCCAGTTATTATTCTTTAACCAGAATGTTGCAAAACCGTCTGCACGAACATGATAATTCCATGTAGCTGGGCCTTGCATATTGTTACTAGGGATTGGGAAAGTAAAAACAAAATGATATGTTCTGGGATGGATCTTAAGCTCTTTCCGATGTTTTTAAGCTTAACAGAGCATAAAATTTTCCTGAACCCAACAGGTAGATAAAATTTTCTGTTAAATTCGGCTTTGCGAAATTAATAGGCTTCTAGTCATACTTAATTGATGGTAATAAGCAATTTAAATAAGTATAACCAATTTAAATTCAGCCCATTCAATATTCATTCGGTTAGATTGAAAGAGAGGCTACTAAGCACATCCATTGACAGCTCGGGAAACAAGGTGTATTGGAGAGCTATATACTAAGAATAAGCTAATAGATGTTCCTAGAAAAGAGAAACAAAAAATCCCAATACAAGTTTTCACCTGAATTCAAGTTCTATCTATTTCTTCGTAGTTGACTGGGTGACGATTCTGAGTCTGATCATGTGAGATTGCTTCCTCCAGCCAATCGTCGTCGGCAACTGGAAAGAAGTAGGAGAAGAAGAACACAAAAGCCAACTGCTGGTCGATGGATGGAGTGATCGAATTCTTGAATAACAGAAATTAAGGTTAGCGTTTGTTCATCTTTGACATGGAAAAGAGAAGGGGGAGGAGAGATGGAAACGTTGAATGAATATGATAAAACAACAACAATAAAAAAATAAAGAACAAAAAACAAAAAATTGAGGAAATGAAAGAAAAGGTTTTTGGTAAAAGAGAGAAAAGGATGACTCCAGAAAGAATAGTCATCGCTGTACGGAGAGACAGACACAAACAGAGGAAGACGAATGAGTTATGAGCCGGGCTGCCGGGGGGAATCTGGAGTCAGGAGTCTGGATCCGGAGCCACCTCCGGACCTCCACCAGCTTTCAACATTTTCATTTTGTAAACTTCAAATGGGCCTGCCGGGTTTTGAGTCCCAATCGGGTGTAACCCGAAAAACTACATCTTCTACGCCTGTTTATCCGACCCTCGAATCACTACTTACTTTACGCAGGCAGTAGAACAAGAACTAAAACCACCTTATGGCGGGTCAAACCGTGTTTGGAAGTGGTATCACCAACCACCACAACGAGGAAGGGTTGACTGATCAAGGATCCGGATTCCGGACAACCTGGCGTGCTCCGACTCTCCTAACAACATTTCTAGTTGGCGAAATTGCATTTTTCATAATTTATATATTAATGGTGGGGTGTATGTAGTTATAATGTCCCTTGGTAATTGCTCTTCTCCAGCTTTTATGGGAGAATGAGACATAACTTGAGCTGTTTTTCCTTCTGGTTTTTATTTCTTCACTCTATCTTTTTGGTGGCTCTATTTGTTCGGTACAAATGTGATGCTGCTTAATCTGAGGTAGTGTATGAATTGAGGATATCAATCAGATAGTCCTTACTGGTAGGGGCGTATCAGGGTGCTCCTGATACGGGTTGATACATGTCTATACTTTGAACCATGATTTTCAAAATCGGACCAGACTGGATAGTTGGATTGAAAAAACCGAGAGCTGGTCAGGTGATCGGTTCCGTTTTTCCCCAAAACCGGGTTTTTTCCAAAAAACATTGATTTGATCAGCAAACCACCGCTGACCCGAGTGGTTGAATTGTTTAAACTGTTCAACGGTTTTGACTGTTTTTTAATTTTTGTCAGAATGGACAACTGTTTGGTTCGAATGATCAGACCATTTGACTTGGAAACTGGACCCCTGACTGGTTCATTGTCCAAATTGATTTTAAAAACCTTGCTTTGAACCTTGAGCTCCAGCATACCATCCATCTTACAACCAGCAATTAATTAAAGTAGCTTGTTCCCTATTTAATTGCTTATTCACTAAAGACAAGAAATTGGTTATGATACTAGAAAACCTTATAACCAATGATATTACAAAAATGGTAACCAACCAATGAAGTGGTATTTATCAAAATTCATGAAAGGTTTTGATTGGTCAAAACTCTTCCAATATCATACTTTTCCCGCTTCATAGATTTATCTAGAAGGCAAACATGTAAGCAATACAGTTCAAAATATTCAGCCACCATCAAACATCAAAGCTGTTGAATACATTTTGGCCACTAAACAAGTAACAAGTAAATTCCATCCCACCAGGAAAAATTTTAGCACCAATAGCTTGCCCAGAAAGCCAATTCTGTTTCACCCCTAAACTGGTTATCATCACCAGGAGATGGTTCTCAATACACGGCGGAGATGTGCCGTGGAACGTTGTAGGGCCCCATAGTCCATCAAACAAGTACAGCATAATTGCTCCATGATGAATTTGAGCTGTCCCCGCAAGCAGGCTCTGGCATCTCCCGCGGGGGGTCTTCGAATGGCTGTCAATAATTGTCTTCGAATTTGACATTTTGTGTTTTTACCTTTATTGGGCTTTTGCCATTTTGTGTTTGTAAGAGAAGCAATTTTGGACCTAGTGTTTGGTCCAATCTATGCTGCTGTACAAAGTCTTACACCTAATATCTGAAATGAATGGCTCATTTTTTCATGGCGTGTGGAAACCTTCCAAGCGTAAAGTGACAAATCCAGTCAATTCTCTAGACCAAATCTCTTACAAGTGTGACAACCCTTTCAAGATGTTAAGACGTTTCGCATAGAAAATAAAGCATGTCAACTCAACGATGTTAAAAAAAAGAAGTCAGATGCTAGAATGTCGAAAACACTATAAACTTGAGAATGAATTTTGACCATGGTTTTTAAAAACGAACCGGTGACCGAACCGGCCAGGTGTCCGGTTACCAGTTCGAACGGTCTATCCGAACGATTGGCCCATTCTAACAAAAAAATAAAAAATAAAAAACGGTCAAAACCGTTCAAATGGTTAACTGGCCGATTCAGCAATTTGCTAATCAAAATCAACGGTTTTGGGAGAAAAAGCGGTTTTGGAGGAAAACGGAACCAGTCAGGTGACTGGTTCCCAGTTTTTCCGGTCTGACCATCCGGTCCAGTCCAGTTTTGAAAACAGTGATTTTGACCACACAAACTAGGGCTGTGAATAGGTGGTCAGTCGGGTTTGACCTGATGGACCTGAACCGATTGGACTGGGCTTTGGTTTCAGGATCTATACCGATGGATTGATTCCTATCCCTAATCTATTGTCCTGATTATTATCAGTTTGTAATTGGTTCTACCTAGTCTCGAACCGATTCATCGGTACAAATATATTAAATGTATATAATTGGGTCCATTGGGTTAGACATTATTATCCCGATAACTGATCAGTTCAGTTTTGGGTCTAAAATTAGAGACCCTTTCCAAGACCTTGATATTTTTTGTTGGATCGGTTTTGATTCTACCCTATATCGCGACCCAGACCCAATCCATTGACAGCCCTAACACAACCCTTCCTTTTATTGGCATATTTGCCACTTTATGAGAGGGGTGTTCATTATATGGTCTAAATCGCCAAACCACACCAAACCAAACCTGACCCAATAGAATGGACCAGACCAAACCGTAATAAAACAATTCGGTTTGGTTTGATTTCTATAGTAAGATAGTTTGATTTGATCTGAAAATTTCTCAAATTATAATTTACTAGTTTGGTCTAAAATCTTCTCCAAACCGAATCAAATCAGACTATGAATAATCCTACTTTATGACCCTAGGTCCCACTTGATGACTTCAACTCCCATGAGATGAGAGGTTGAAGTTTTCCTATATGCTATGATTCTCATAGGCTAATATAACCCTAAAAAATTTAACAAAAAGCCCTGAAGAGAAGTCACTAAAAGTAATACTTTAATCTTCACGGAGAGGAATTCAAAACTTGACATAGACACGCTTTCAGTACAAAACAAGATATCATGCTTCCTTAGTGCAACATAGACAGATGTCATACATTTTCCTTTTCCCATGGTTACTAGCTGTCACAAACCTCCTTCCAAGTATTTGACAAATAATCAAGGAATGAAGGGAAACAAAGAAAACCTACAAGAGTCATATACCCTTAAATGGAATACTAAACAATAATGTCTTCACTTAGCAGCTTAGTTCCTAACATTTCACTAGAACATGGCTTCTGTATTTCAGCTCATAGGAACAGATGTAATACCATCCATTGAATTTCCTTTACATTTTATCTTTTCCTTTAAATTAACTTCTGTTGAGTACCATGAACATAGAGTTAAACCTATTCTTTTCTTTTCTTTTCTTTTCTTTTGACAATGAAGAGATAAGTACCATGAACATTCCTTACTCATAAACAGATAAACAGGACCACAAAATAAAGTGAGAAAAGCATCAATCAGCATATGATCACAGACCCGCACCATCAAGCATGTTGCATTCCAAACTGGTCAATAGAATCGGGCCTAATAAGGAAAGTTTGGAATCAGAAGACAAATACCCCTTTATATGCCATTCTTGGGATACCATCTTGGAAAGGAAGAGAAGAAAGGCATAAAATATGGAGAAACTCTGAAGCATATTTAAGTTAAATTAAAAACTAAAGTTTAATTACTGTATAAAAGCTGTACAATAAATAAAAAAAGTTATTAATTATGTCTAAGATGTTACATGGTTTACTTAATTTTATTGAGGACTTAACAACGTTAAAGGTGTCACTTATAACATCTCACTTTATCGCTATTTCACTTTTCTTTTCTTTTCTTTTATGCATAAGTGTAGATTTTGCCTAAAAACTAAGGCAACAAAACAATATAAGGAAATGGTGACATCTTCGCTAACGGATTCAATGGAATTCAAATATCAGCACACTAGGATCTGACTTGCAAATATGGCAGTATTTGAAATTGCGTGGTGGCTTAAAACTTCACTTATTGTACAAAACTTCCATTCTATTAATTATTTATAGAAAGGTAAAATCCTCAAACTAGAGAGCTTTTCTTTCAGACAAATGACATTCTATCTTCTCAAGAAAGAGCAACCAATAATTGAATGCCCCCATTCTTCAAGAGAAGCCTTCTTCCTCGTCCATGTATCTAACCACTTAAGAAAGTGAGAGTAGTTAGCTCCACTCTCAAAAAAAAAAAAAAAAAAAGAAGCTAACTTTAGACACATGACAACCTATAAAGAAAATCATCCACTTCAAAACATGTAAAGTCCATATTAATAATTTTAACTTAATTTTTTTAATTTAAATTAAAGATTCATTATACAGACTTTCAATGGTAAGAGTCCCATTTTTCTTAAATCAAATAGGTTATCAATCACAAATTAAATCTGGTTTAATTTCTTAAATTAAATAAGGAATTCATATCAAATATACCATGTAAATAGTGAATCTCAAAACAAAATTATATATAACTGTAGTTGCTCGTATTTGGTACAAGGCCACTCTCTAGTCAATAAAAGAATATACAAAGTTAAAGACCAACTCCAGACCCAGACCCTATAGAATGCCTCTATAGAAACAAAAGGAAAAATCCAAAAATTTGATCTCAAAAAAGAAACATAGAAAGGCAAGAAGGATATGACTTTAAGCTATTTTAGAGATAGCTCATCCCATACAGATTTTGACAGTATCCATCTAGGTCCTAGAAAGAAATCTGATCGGAAAGGCAAATTGCAACATATTTACTCAAAATCATGGAAATGGGTTTAAATCATGGTTTTCCAAGACAAGGAAATAAGTCAATTGAAGTATTTGGACGGTGTAGCTGACCCCATATAAATATAGTTGGAATAAGGCTGGATGATGATGATGAAGTATTTGGATGGTGTGTGAGTGATATTTTATGGCTTTTTTCTTAAAATCTTGCATGGTCCTTAAAAATTGTCTATTCTTTACTTTTGGTGCTACTCTTAACAAATTTCTATTCAACTCCATGGGTTCACTCGCTAGTTTATCTATATAACTGAACCGAACAGATCATAGTTTACTCATGTAGCATAACAGAACGCATAGAGGAATTAGAGAGAACTGTTGCCATGTCATAAGACAAATCCAGTGAGTCACATAATTTTTCGGGTCACAAATCAAGAGTGAGGCTTACCCAATGGGAGTAATGCAACCAAAAAGATCAATCTCCTTCACTAACAGAAGAGCTGAACTTATTGTAAACTAGTCACCAGAGCCAAGACCGTTATCTGGGTCTTGGGAGGGGTAAACTGGATACAGTCCTAACCTTTGGCATTCTTACACAAAAGCCCTCCCCAACCCCCAAAACCTGGTGAAGGTGAGATTTGATCCCAAGTCTCCACTACAACCAGTCAGAGACCTTGCCAACGAGCTACCTGGCACCTTCCGTTCTAAGTTCCAATCCAGATGTAGAGAAATGTGTATAGCACCAACAGATTGGATATGGCAAAAGTCAACAGATTTCTTCAGCAAATATGATGTCAAAAATGAATTGCACTGCAAAACGGAAAGGTAGCATGAAATCAGAGTGGTGGAGTTTGCATTCCACTAAAAGTAAGTGGCACCATGATGCAGAAAAGAGTAAAAAAGTTCAATTTCAATTCTTTTAACTATGCCAAGACCCAAGAACAAATGAGAAAGCAAAGCTAAGAACACCATATACTGATTAAGCATAGATTTTAAGGGGTTCAACCCACCCATCGAAGGGTTCCACTTGAAGATTAAGCCATGGATTAAACACTGACATGATCTTATTCCCCATATATCTTTTATCAAAAAGAAAAAAAATATTCCCATATATCCAGCCTAATGAAACCTTTGCATTGATTCAATTTAGATCATTTAGGTGAGTTGATTTTGTCACTTTTTTGTCATGAGAATATTTCCTAGTTAATTTATGTTTCCCAAAGGATGTGAAGGGTTTCCTAGAGGCCTGGTTCCTAGAAGGCCTCAGCAAGGCTGGAAAAGTAGCTTGGAGTATCCTCCCCGCTGCTGTTTTCTGGGCAGAGTGGGGTGAAAGAAATATTAGAATTTTAGAAGGCAGAATTCAAAAGAAGAGGTGCTCAACAGGATTTTGGGGTATCCTCCCCGCTGCTGTTTTCTGGGCAGTGTGGGGTGAAAGAAGTATTAGAATTTTAGAAGGCACAATTCAAAAGAAGAGGTGCTCAACAGGATTTTGGGGATGGTGTTTTCGTGGCTGACAAACCATCCATTCTTTAAAAATAGGCAAACTTGTTCTTTTTTTGAGCCTGATTTCCTTTTTGTAAGATCATAGTTTTTTGTTGGGTTGTTTTTCGGAGGCTGGCTTTTCTGAGGTTCTTCTGTCTTTCTGCCATACAGTCTCTCTTTGTACAGGGGCCTTTTGTATGCTGCCCTTTTGTTATTATTGAATTACTTTACCTTACAGTTTTCAAAAAAAAAAAAAAAATCTCCAAACTGTATGGTGCCTGCTACATCAATCCTGTCTCAGTGTCTCGCCATTCTGTTCTATTCAGTGCCATGTCCAGCATTGAACTATTGGCACTTTAAATCATTTCTTATTACTTCCATCCAAGTCCATTTCTATCTGCCCCTAGCTCTTCTAGTCCCCTCAACTTTTCACATATCATCTTTCCTACCAGGTGCTGTAGATGGTTTTCTATGCACATTACCAAACCATCTCGACATACCTTCTCTCATTTTATCACCTATTGGAGCTACTCCTAGCCTCCTAGGTTCCTTTGTATGACTTCATTTCTAACCCTGTCCTTTCTAGCTTTACTACCTATCCATACAAGCCTTCACGTTTCTGCCACACTCACTTTTTGGACATGCTGTTTTTTAACTGCCGAACACTGCTCACAATTGTTTTAGACAATTTTCCTTTTAGCCGAAGTGGTATTCACCTATCACATAAGACTCCAGATGTACCCTTCCATTTTGCCCATCCTGCTATAATTTTGTGGGTGACATCCTCCTCAGTCTCTCCTTTGTTATGGATTATTGAACTATGGGAATGTCGTCTAGATCATATCAAATAATACCCAATACATTATATTTCAATATAATGTTAGGAACCAAACTAGATTACTCCCCTCCCCCCCTCCCACCGCAAATACACATAGCATCTGAAACAGAATATGCATGACATGATATTTACAGGTTCTCATACTTATGCTTAAATTCAAACACTTCTTACCTTCTTCTTTTGGGATGTTAGGCTGGTCAATCAAAAGTTGATTAAGTGCTCCTAAATCACTAGCACTGCATGTAAACAATCCAAATTCAAGGTTAACCATATAAAGTACTAAAAAAATTGCCTAAATGCAAAAAAAAGTTTGTAACCACAAGAAAAACAACGCACCCAGATGTACATGGCACTAACAATCTAAAAAACTGTTCAAGAGGATTACAAGGCTCTACTACCAGCAATTGTGATATTTTAACAAGTAAAATGTACAGTGATAAGTTTGAGTGACAACATTAATTTTCATCCTCAGACATCTGTTTAGTAGAACCAACCAAATGGGAAGTCAGAACAGCCTGCATGATGGTTGTGTTGAACTGTCATGCTCTACCCAACACCAGAATTTTAGATTTACTTGATGCACAATATATTTATGAAGACCTTATGTTGAATATGTTTAACTTCAGTATCCATGGTTTGGTGACTATTATCATACAAAGTAACTTGCAACTGAGTCAACTTAAAACTTCTAGGTAAACTGCCTTTTTTAAATCAGTTTCTAACTCAATGTTTCACTGTAGACATAAACATAAAAAAAAATCTGGTCTATGTGGTAGCATGGAGGCTTGATTAGTGCAGAAGATACAGCAGGAGAATTTTTTAAACAAGAGAGACGATCTTAGCCTATTCTTAGAACAACAGTTCCACAACTGCTCTTCAATTTCCTAAGAAACTCCTCTTTTGAAGTTTGTTAGAATGATCAACCTGCCTGAAATATTTTACAATTAAAACAGGTTTAACATATACCACATTTATATTACAAGAGAAAACTGCGCTTTAAGGAAAAAAAAACAATTAAAACAGGTTTAACATATACCACATTTATATTAAAGGAAATTGCCAGTAGGTTGGTACACCTCTGAGTGCTCCCCCACCCACCCAGGAAAAAAACAAGTATTATGTATCAAAAAAAGAAAGAACAATGCTTTGAAATAACTAATATGCACTTGGAAAAATTTTAACATGATACACACCTGGACTTCAAGGAGAGTGCTGAAACAATTGATGACTTGAGAAGGTACCTGGAAATTCAAACTTGAATTAGACATTAATTACTAAGCCAAATTTAGCTTTTGACCTTTTGCAGCAATCTGATAAAATAGTTACAAGCAAAATTTCTGGAACAAGTAACCACTACAAATTAGAACAACCAAACAGTCCTAGATCTCATAAAGTGGAGTAGTTATGACTAATGAGAAATTAAAAGCCGTTTTCATCAGCTTATTCATTTGAAACATAGTTCCTTACTTCCTTAAAGTGGAAAACAATAGTAAAGAAGCACTTAAGCAGAAACCTAATGTCTCCACCAAGTATATAGTTCTATCAGTGTAATTTGTGCAGTGAGCTTCACCTAAGCAGAAACCTTAGAAAGGTCATTGTTTTGGTGCCTGCCCAGCAGAAAACAATAAAAAAAAAATCAGTGCAATGTGCCCAGGTGAACATGCACCGCCTTTTCTTTTCTTTTTCCTTTTTGATTGTTAATGAGATCAAAGAGGGAACAAGACAAAAATCCTCTAAAACAAGAACGCCAACCAACACCAAATACATTCCAAATGTAACAGACTTCCTGCAAAGCATTTAGCATTTCTTTTGCAATATAATGGCTCTTTAACCATATAAACGATGTCTATAAAATGACATGTGGATTCCATGACTTCACAATGCTTTAGCAACTAAATCTAATTTAGTTACTTACCATGCAAAAATTTCCAAGAAAGGTGATAATAATAAAGGCAATATAGAAATGAGAGAAAACAATAGCTGGCATAGTTTTAAAAGATTTCTTGTGGGACAAATCCAAACAACATACCAAATGAGATTGGTGACTTGGATGACGATAATGATGATGAAATTGGTGGCTGGAGAGGTGGCGGCCAAAGGCATTATGATACCCATCTCAAAGTTCCCTAAGGGCTATTCAAACAAAACCTATAGAAAACCATGATTTCTGTTTCTCTTTTCTCAGCCAAGGGGTCTCCGTCATGCACCTCATCAAATTAGGCAAGCAAGTTCTTTGATTCAAGATTGACTTGTTTAGTTGGTTAAGGAGAACAGATAATGAGATAACAGGTTCTTCGGCTAGAAGTGTGTTTGGTGGGGCTTCTTTGTATTGAGACCTGCCCATCCAGGATTGGCAGATTGAAAATTTTAGGGTGGGCCAAGTAAACTGGCTTAGTAGCTACTTCCCCATTGGAAATGTACTTCATTTTGTATATTATATGTCATATTGAATGGAATTCATCAATCTATTAATCATAAAAAAATGCTGGGTTGGATTTCGTTGTAGAGTGTATTGGATATTAACTTCAGCTTTGGCATTGTTAACTATAACATGGTCTTCTGGGTTTAACCCATGGCTTGGATGTGGTTTCAACTCCACCTTCATTATTGTAGTTTTTTTTTTTTTTTTGAAACTGGTTAAATGTGGTCTTGGGTTTAACTGGTTGAATGCTATTCATGTTAAAGAAGGATTGCTTACGGGAACATACATGTCATGGGAATCTATAATCTCAAATTGCCAGTGAAGATAGAAGGAAAAATTAATTAATTTTTCATTTTCTCTAGAGAACCAGAAAGTTTCTCTCATCCTCAAATTTCCATGAAAAAACAAAGAGTGGAAAGTTATTCCTTTCTCTTTTCTCTTTCTTTTCTTTTCTCCTACTTTCTATTAAACAAAACAATGTAAAAGATGCACAAGAAAACATAAGTATTGAAGAATATACAGAATTCGCAAAAGAAAATTGCAGAAATTTCAGAATATCCAATTATATGAAATAACAGTTCATAGAATTTCTTACTCGGAGTAGTGCATCTCAAAAATAATCCTAAGTCCCTCTAGACAATCGAAAAGACTTGGCCGTATCCCAATCCGCAGCTGCATCTGCTTAGTGGATGGTGATATAGATCCCCCTTTCATTAGTTGTCTACCATCTCTAAGAATCTTTTCAAGGGACACAACAATGGAATGGAACTCTTCTCTGAAAAAAGCCAAATACTTATATGAACCAAATCACATAAAAAAGACATTTAATACAGATAAGACACCAGATAAAGGCTCACATTGTCTTTTTCATGGAAAGAAAGATTGTTTCCAAAGACTCCATTTGCTTTCCTAGCACCTCCTCTCGGATGCCACTGATACATGTGAATACACCATAATTTTTAGGTTCTTGTAGTACCTGATTATGGAAGAAGAAATCCTTCAACTAGAAAGTAGCAACAAAAATAGAGAGTTTTGTATATGCATAATACATCGGTAAAATCTCGGGCTGACTAGTGTGAAAACATGGGTTAGAGCCTGAGTGCCATTTTGTAAAAAATAAATTCCAAAGCTTATGTTAATGCCTAATCCACCCCTCCCAACACCTTAGGTAGCCGGGACGAACAGTAAACAATGGCTCTTATTTAGAGTATAATACCTGCAACCTCTCAATGATTGAAGAGGCATTTCTGAACTGAGCAAGCAATTGAGATTGAAGCTGATCCCATCTACTCATATCATCTTTAACTTTTCTGAACTTCTGCTGGTGCTTCTTCACCATCATCTCCATATCTAAATAACCAAACAATAAGAAAGAAGGTTGGTATCTGATATTGCCAAAAGGAAGCTGGAAGAAGAAGACAATTGGCATGCCATCGTATTGACTCTCAAAACATCCTTTCCCTATGCCAGTCTATGCGAGTTAAGTCTAAGTTGGAGTTCAAGCTAATGAAGTGTCCTAATATCATGGAGAAGTAAGGGACAAGGATTCCTTTTTTTTTGTGTATGAGAGGAGGATGAACAGCAATTGCTTGACCTATAACAGTTCTGACTTCTGAGTTTAAAAATTCAACAGAATCGTAATATCTGCTAAGGTAATTCCAAGAAAGAGAAGAACATTACTCCCAAATCAAAAGATGGCAACGGGAGAATTGTGTTCTTGTATTGGTCATGCTGCCTGTCTCAGTCCAAATTTTCTTACTAAACGAGGAAACCAAAACGCTGAAAGTAAGAAAATAAGTAAAACCAAACAGAGAAAGATTGATCAGTAGTCAGGCCTTACGTAAACCGGCAGTTGAGATGATGGTACTTGATTCTACGCAAATAAATGCTTGATTTTACTTTTCTTCCTCTGCGAAACGGAAGAGGTGAGAGGAAGCCGGATAACAGAAGGAAGCGATTTGGAGTTGGGCTTTACTTGGCTCCTACGACCAAGTCGTCCAAAGTCCAACCACATCTTGATTTTCGTATCTAAACCCTAAATCCCGCAAAGGAAACTTCGGCCGTTAAACAGTTGGGCTGTCTTTCAGCTTTCTGCACATGACACGTTACCTGACTGAGGTCCTTATTTGTCTTTTCGATTAATTGGAAATATTCTTTAGTCCATCCTTATGTTAACGTGTCATACGCTAGATGGACACGCAGTTGCTTCAAAGGTGTGCGTCATGCATCACGGCGCTTCTGATGACTGATGAGAACATCAGAGCACCCATATTGTAGGCTGGATCATCTCTTGGTATTTGGAATAAAAAAATAAAAAATCCGAGAAGTAGTTGGTTGTTCATTTTTTTTTTCTTTTCTGTTGAGTAAATTTCGATGGAAGAAGAAGAACAACAAAATCGACCAGAAAGCTGTGAAAATGGGAGAGAAGACGGAGAAGCAGAAGAACAGCGACAACAAGAAGAAAGTGTCTTACAATTTCTGGATTCAATGGATGGCTATCTCACTCTCTTGGATTCATTGTCTTCGACCCTTCGCCAGGTTAGATCGGCTCTCCTTTGCCCTATTAACTGTTGAGTTCTTCTTGTTGTTTTGTAGATTGTTGGTTAAATTTTATTTTTTAATTCTTCCAGGTTATGTTAACCTGAAGCTGTTTACTTTCGTTGGTTCTTTGCATTTATTGCAATTGGTTGTTATTAATACTGGTTCATCAAGTTACTTGACTATTTCGTGTGTTGTAAAACCTCTGAGTACATGCTTTCTTTGGAGAATCCTGAAATTCCCAAGGCCGACAGAATTGAAGTTAACTCTTTTGTTTTGGTAATTAGTGGCTTGCTTATGGTCTCCAATCCGAGGGTTGCTACTTAAAACATTGATTACATGGCATATAATGCATGGAGAACGGCCTTTTTTTAATTTTTAGATGGCATAATTTCTGGACACGCTACTAGTAAGTATACTGTATATTACTAGGAATACAGTTCAACTGACTGACGATGATTAGGACCGAGTGCCAAAGGTGGGCTTTTCAAATTTTGACTGATGCAGCCTTTTTAGAATTATTTTTTTTGGGTAATAAGCATTTGTTGAAGATGAGTGATCTTCAACTCTGTCTTAATTGTTTTCTCTTTGAGTATACGAGTGGTATAGGTGTCCAAGGTTTTCTTGATAATTCACATTTTAGGATTTAAATGAACTGCTTTGAACAGCAGGGGTAACTTTGCAGTCTAGGAAGAAAGTGGGCACTTTTTTATTTATTTATTTTATTGTTAGACTCTTAGTGCTTCGAAGGAGTGTTGAAGCTTTGCTGGTTACTCTTCAGAATGCATCTTGATAATCCTATTGTTGTAGCATATTAATATGCATGTGCGTATGTCAACCAATATTTTTACTTATTGCAGAAGGACAGTTGCTTTCGTTTTAATGTACTTTACACATTAAGGCATGATAACATATTGGTTTTTCTTTATCAGTAATTGCAAAATTTATTAGCACAAAAAGAAGAGAGAACACTAAACCCCCTTGGAAAAACAAGAGGAAGAACAAGAATGGCGAGCATGACAACCAGAAAATGAAAAGAGTATAATCAAATGAGACAACTAAAAAACTTGCCTGGGATTTTCTTTTTTGAGAGAAAGTAAATTATCTCCAGGACAAACCAAATCTGTGAACTGAAAGCCTGGCGAAGCCATCTTACATTGATCACACTGATCTTCAGCATCCATCTAAACAAGCTGTTCACTCCATTGCAGGATCAAAAAAATGCATGTGGCACACATTTTAATGGGTAATGAATAAAATGTATATTATTTGGAAAGTTTAAGGGAGGAAGTGAAAAGGGCAACCATGGTATGAAAAATTCTGTTTAAAGTATGAATTTATTGAATAGCTGGAAAGAAAAAAACAAATCGAAGGGGCAATTTCTGCATTGCAAATTCTCCTTGAGTTCCAAAATGAAGAAATAAAGAGAGAAAACACCTGTTCCTTGTCATAAGTAAGTTTTAGAAAGGACCAACTCAAAGACCTTTAATGAATAATGAATAAAAGTTCTATCTAAAAAACTAATATCTTATGATTTTTATAGTACAGACAAGCAGAAAAGCACTATTTCACACAATTTATTGGGTAATATAGTATAAAAAATTATTGTATTCTTTTCTACCACCAAATTTTGTTTTTATAAGCTATTCCTTTACAGGGATGGATTGACCTTGCCAGTGCTCGACATTCCATGGGTGTATCACGTGTCACTAGTGTATTGTTCGACCTCAAATTGCACTCTGCTTCAACCACATTGCATGTGGCTGAACAAGGTGGTGATTTTTCTCTGATAGGTACTTGTTGAATTTTCTGAGCTTGCTTAGTACTTCATTGTATTGAAGGTGATGATTTATTGACAACGTATATCAGATGGACATTAGTGCTTTGGGGTTACAGAGACAGCCATTAGAGAAGCCACAGGATGTGGCTGATTTAAGAGGCCTAAATCTAGAAACATATAAAATACAGGACTCCTTGTATCTGAATGGGAGCAAAAGGAACTACTGTCTCGCAGTTCCACATATTGCATGCTGAGATTTCTAAGTGGTCCCTCCCACTAAGGAATCTTCCAGGTCAAAACTTAATTATCTTGGCCATATAATATGTAAAACCTTATTTTAGCTGCTTTCCTTCTCAAAGGAATGCAATAGGTCCGATAGGTCTGACAGTCTGATTTGCTCAAAATTTCCATCAAGATCACTGGTTGGTGAGATCTTCCTCATATGATTGTCCTAATAAGAGTATTCTCTGTTGATTGCGGTTCTCCCTTCCCTAATAGCTTCTGCCTATCAGCTTACACCAATGTGGAGCCTCTTGTTGAAGTCATGAAGCATATTTTTATTGTCAAATTAAGTCTATGATCTTTTTTTCATCTCTCTCTCTCTCACACACACACACACAAACACACTTGTCAAAAGAAAAAAAAAAAAAACTTCTTATTGAAAAATACTTGGCCTCTTTTCCCTTAACTTTTAACATGGGATTCTTTTTGGGGTGTCAAAGTAATTTTGTGATATATGGGCTATTTTTAGCTGATTCCATGGGAGAACAACCACATTTTGTTCTTTACAAATGGTCATCTTCAGACAGTGGAAAATGTGGGTCAGGGGAAATAGAAATTGATAAACGGGAGCTGCAGCAGTCTAGTAGTCCTCAGCTACGACATCGAGGGGCGTCCCCACATTCTGGTATATGTTACCTTTTTGCAGTCTATTCTTTTATTAATGGGATTTTCCAAAACAGGTGATGCAAAAATCAAAGAATAAGGATTGGCCGATGACAATGTAAAGGCAATATACATAACGTGAATATAGGGGAAGATGGGACAACTATAGCACAATTCTGTGGGTAAGGGAAGTATGTGACTTTATATCTGGCACAGAGATCTAATGTGCATCACATGTTCCTGGACTTACAACCCATTAAATTGGTGCCTTGATGTTCCTTTTCTAGTTTCATCCTTAATTAGTTGTCTTTATTTCTTCTCATTTCGTGTTGTCCATAGAACTGCAGAAGGAATACCCAGCAGGGTCCACGACTTCTCCCAAAGCCTATCAAGTAAGTGACCCATGAAAGATCTCAAAATGCATCTTAATTTAATATAAATAATGGGCAACTGGCGTTGATGATACAAGTATCTGAACAGTGGAAGGACCATGGAAGAACCTGGAATACATTTAAAATGTTAAAATTTAAAACAAGTTCATTGCTTATCTACTATCTGCCTTTTCAGGTACAAAATGAGCGCTTCAAATTGTTATCAGTGTTTGGAACTTTGGTTTCTCCAAAGCTCCATACTGCCCAACTTTCATTCGAGACAGGTTAAGTTAATGCTACATACTTTGCTGCATGAAAATAGACATGGTTTTATATATAGTGAAGACAACCATTGTACCTGATTTGTTTTGGACAAGAGTAGCCCCACTCTTATTTCCCACAAAATAATGTATTAGATTGGCAAATATTAAACCATCAGGTCTGCAAAATATTCAAGAAATTCCCTTTAAAGTGAGAGGCTGTACAATCAGGAAAAGAATCCCACCAAGCAAAAAGACAACAAACAGATTGGATCAGAACATCAACTTCATAGGCAAGAAGCGAGATCAAGGAATGTCCCTGAACTCCTTCAAAATCTGATGTCAAAATAGGAAAGTTGCCACTGCCTTTTCAAATATGCTGTTGTTTCATTCCCCCCATACTGCCAAAAAACAGCCAAGGGTATGAACCATCAAACTAATTTACCCCTACTCTGTAATCCTTTAAGCATTCCAGAAATCTTTACTTCAAACTGAATGAATGAATGAACAAGAGTAACCCCAGTTTGCCATCTTCTAAAATATAAAAAAGAGTTTTCAATCATTTTCACATTCTCTCTCTCTCTCTCTCTCTGATCAACTACCAGTGAGATGACAAACTTTTTCCTTTTTTTTTTCAATGAACTTGTTAGTGGTAATCTCATTCGCCTCCTTTGTCATAATAATTGTGCTACATTATAATGTAGGACAACTTGTCCAAGTCAAATGGGTAGAATGATAGTTTAACCTAATGTTTTAAAACACGGAAGTTGGATATATTTTAGTTAATTGTTGGGTTGAAATTGATCTTTAAATTCTATGAAAGGGTTAGCTGGTTCTTGCTCAAGCATTTAGGGTAGTTATGATGTTTATGTGGTTATTAGTATGAAAGCACATAATTAGTAGAAAAAAAGAATGTATGAAAGCACATTATTGAGTTAGAGAATGTAGTTTTTGCAAACTTTTGAAGCTATTGAGCTTGAAAGTTTTTTTCTTTGGTTGTGCCCAAATCAGATGATCTGGGTCAGCTACATCAACCCTGCAGGTTGCTGCAAATATGTGAATATTTTAGGGAATAACAACCATTGGGAATTGCCTTCTCACTCCTGCCATCTCACTCCTTTTTGTCTTTCAATTTTCAAATAGACATTGAGATTTATCCTCCATGCCGCCTGCATAAAAAATTTTGCATTTTTGGGGTTAAGATTTTGGTGTCCAATGTGAACGTTTCAGTCTATGGCAAGCGTGAGATGCAATGGAGCCATTCTCTTCCATTCTCTTTAATCGTTATTTTTTATTTTTTTTTGGGGGGGGCGGGTCAGCCTGGGGTTTTGCTCTTTTTATCTTGTTGCATTGTTGCAGCTGTTGTATCCTCCCTTGGTTTCTTATTTTAATGCTCTGTTTTTTTAACTTTTACAATACACAGTGATTGTCATGTGGAACCGATGTAGTTCCTGGTGATTCTTGGATCATAGATTTAGGTTTCATGAGAGCTTAATACTTGTATGCCATGATATGCATGGCCTATTAAGAAATTTTCACTTTCTGCAGCACTGGGGACACTTGTAAAAATTGCCAATATGCGGTCTTCGATGCTCTCTGCTTTTGCTCAAGTACAGAAACAAAGTCAGGCTACCACAAAAATGGCATAAACTTGCCCAGGTTAGCAAATACCACCCCCATCTGAATGCTCATTCTTTTCCTCTTGCATTGATTGTTAAACTTTTCAGTTCAGTTACTTACAATTCCAATTTATAGGACATAGGTTAGAATGGCCCAAATCTTATGCAAACATGCTTTGTCCATCCTCCTTCATTATCAATCTACACTTATTTACAGAGGTGTGGGACCTGTGAAGCCAGGATTCTAGGTTCCACAAAAACAATTTGATGAATATGCATTGGGCAAGGCGTGACAAAGCACATTTCACCTCATGATAGCTTTATAGCGTTACTGTTTTTAAATGACTTGTTTGCTTCAACTATTAAATCTCATGGTTGATTTTGAAAAAATAGTAGTTTGTAGATTGTTGGAACTGGTGAAGAATCAACATGGACTCTTACCTGGTGATTCTGTTTATGCCCTTTTAAGACTTGGACACTGTTAATGAAATGAGACTCGGAACCATCATCAGAGAGGTTGTTTGAAGATATCCAAGTGCATATTTTCCTCCACTAATTTTCTGAAAAATATTAACCAGGTATCTGATTCCTGCCAACTGAAATACCCAGGTTAGTGATCACAATAATCAAATGTAGGCATCTTTCAACTGCTTTCATTCTCTTTTATAAATGTGGAAGGCATTGGGTTTCTATTTTTCAGTGACAAACTACTCAGACATGGGAAATTGAGAATTCGGTGTTAATCAGTCGAATCATTATGTTCCTAAACTGGCAAGCAAGCTCATGGGCCTTCAAAGCATTTCATGCTTCAGGTTTCAGCCATGTTCACAATTAATGAGGTCAAGATCATGCAAATTTGGGGAGGTCAAGATCATCAATTTTTTCCTGGCAATAAACAATTAATGAGGTGGTCCGCCTTTTCGTTAGGGCGTAAACTATAAAATTAGGCCAACTCAAGCATCAAGAAGGGAGGGAGACCTTTTCTTTCAGACAAGTGGTTAACCATGTATCTGCAAATGGCACCTCAATCGGTCAATCCAAAGTGGACCGCGTTAATAGGCCATATCACTTTTTTTTTTTTCTCGAACTAATAGCTAATAAGCCTAATAGAGCTCACCTCAATCGGTCTATCCAAGGAATGAAGAAATGGAAGGCGATATATTGATACTTGAACCGCCCGTACGAATCCGAGGAAACAATGGTGATATATTGACGCCTGAACAGCCCGTACAATGTATTGGGGCATTTTGCCAACACCATTGAAATTGAATAAGCCATACCAACAGGACTGTTTCCACTCACCACTGTTGAACTGAATTGGCTCCATCACCTTTTTTTTTGGGTTGAAATTCAAGGGATTCATTCACTGCCGGAGAAAGCGCTTCCAATCATTATATGGCTGCCTACTGTATGGTGAGCATGGGCCGGTTCTGTTTAGTTTCAAGGCAGAATTTGTAGCCCTTCTTGTAGGGCTCTGGATCTGCTATCCACCTGGGCCTCTCTACACATCTCTCCCATGTGCAAGCATAAGCCCTAGTTACATGTGTGTCCAAACTGTCGCCCTTAACTGTCCCATTATTAAGCAAACATTTTTTGTTCTTTTCTTTTCCCATTCTCAATCGAACAATAGCTTGAACCCCAACCTATCGTCTTCTCCCTTTGCTCTATTTCTCGCATAGCTCACGGCGGTGAGCTCTTCTTTCTGGCTCTACCATGTTCTCGTTAGACGTAAATAAACCAATTTTTTTTTTGGCTCCCTTTTCCCTAACCTATCGTCTTCTCCCTCTGCCCTATTCCTCCCATGGCTTACGGTAGTGAACTCCTCTTCTTAATCGAAGGCTACATGGAACTTAGCTCGGTTTGAAAGAAGCAATGAGCTCCAGTTGGTTTTTCAAACTGTTCTCTGGTGGCCCTGTTTGAAATGCAGGTATTCTTTGTTTCAAGAGATCAACGAATTGGAGAGAGGAAGTTGTTCGATTACAAGAGAAGTCCACCGTTATGTTAAATGGGAGAAGAGACTCAGTTTAGAAACATATATTCAATTGTTTAGTGGGATTTTCTTTTCTTTTTTAATATTATCGAATCATTTAATGGAGTGGGTTTAACGTCCATTCTCTTATGCTCGTACATAGGAACTTTGGATCCATGTCATAGGGCAGGTGTCTTCTGTGGTTTGTGGGGAGGCCGAAGTGGGTAACAGATCTAGATCTAAACCTATCTTATGAAGGTCGGTTTTGGTATAATTTCGAGGTTGCTTCCAAGGTGTACCTTTGGAACTATATATTATAGTAATAATATATAGTTCAAAATTTATGTTTATTGATTAAATAGATTAAAGAGTAATTTAATATATATACTACCATGCATATTTAATATATAATATAAAACTTATCATTATAATTTAGATTTTATAGATATTGCCTTTTACAATACTTATTATACACATTCAAATATTAAGTAAAAAAGATCAAGTGACTCAGTGATCAAATGAGACCATAGACTTTATAACTATGAAAAGCTTGGGTTTAAATTCAAACATCTTTAAATTATTTTATAATTAATTTCAAGACAAGTTCGATTCTAAGGCTGGTTTCACCAAAGCCAATCTTTCAAGCCGGTTTGGATAATAGGGTAAACACTTAGACGGACCCTAGAACTTGGAACCATACCTTATCCTGTAATAGACTGAGTAGGATAGTTTCAAAGCTGGTTCTCTTGGTTCCGGGTACATAACGTCAATACGACAGTGTATATTGTTTTTGATAGATGTACAATAATGTATTATTTAGTAAATTCAATTCGAAACAGGAAAAGATCTTAACGGAAAGGCCCATAGTGACCGTCCAGTTAAACGGTAGTTCAAGTCTTGAAAAACCTCCTTTTTTAATTATTTAAATGAGATACATCAAATACATGAGAAACTATCAACAAAGGATTAACGACTGTCCACTCAGACGAAGATAAAAAACAGTTCAACTAATAAAGTCTTGAAAAGCTCCCCTCCTTTTTACCAAAAAAAAAAACAGAAAAGCTCCTTCCTTTTTTAATAAAATGAGATACATCAAATACACAAGAAACTTTCGACAAAGGGGTAAAGAATATTAACTCCCCAAATATGAAAGATAAAAATATTGCAAATGAGACATCATACTCCAGAATAACTCCCGAAGCACAAATAATGAAGAATATATATATAATATAAAGATTATTCAAGAGGTGACCAGAAAAAAGGAAAAAAAAAAGGCAAAGATATTCATCCTGGAAAGCCCCCAAGAAAAAAAAAGAATCAAATATGCAGAGATACAGAAAGGAGTAAACTCCAAGGAGAATAATTGGAACCATCCAATCACTAGCGCGTGTAGCACACAAGGAGAAAGAATTGGCCATCATAACCACAAAAGAGCTTAAACTATTCTACTGGCTAGAAAGCACTCCAATTATCAGAAACCCTTCTTGTAGTTTGACTTTCTGATGAGGGCTTAAATGGCCCAGTTGAACCAAAAGGATCGGCCTCATCAAAAGATGAGAACCCTCGGCCATGGCCAAAGTTATTGGTGCTGCGAATGGAGTCAAACCTTGCAAGAGTCTCACGTTGTGCAAAAGGTCCACTGTCGTGCATACTGAAGGAATCAAACCTTGAAAGGTTGTCAAAGGAGTGGTCCCCTGCTTCACTGTACCTCGGCGAATTACCAGAGTTGAAGAGTGGGGTACTAGGAACAGAATCTCCGAAATTGAATGGGCTCTTCTTCTGGAACATGCTATCTGCCTGTGGGGACTCTGTTCTAATAGAGGTTAGACCAAAATCACTGGAGCCGAAGAAAGAATTTTCTCTATGACTCTCCTGGTCCAAGTCCTGAAAGTGAACATCAGTCAGAAGAACAAGCAAAAAAAAAAGGAATATAAGAACAGTAGACCCTATCTGCACAGCCAAGTGACCTGGGCACTGCCATGGGAGTACATGGTTAAGGAATTGATGCCATAATTTAAATTACAGTGTGGATCCATGCCGAGTGCATAGATGCAAATGAGAACTGCAAATTATTACTGTTTTTATTATTCCTATTATTATTATTATTATTATTATTATTATTATTATTATTATTTGGGGGTATTCTACTACTACTATTATTATTCAGGGCTACTCTACATTTTGAGTAAAAAGTCATCGATGTGAAAAATAGTGAAGATGTAGAAATAATACCTTCATACTATACCAGTCACCACCCCCTACACCCAGATTTTTTTTCAGTGAAAATGATTTTATTAAAAAAAATGTATGAGAATTAGTACATAGATTGGGTAGCCTCGGCCACCCCAATGTCCAATAACATTCCACCCAATATTTACTTTACATTCTTACAATATAGTCCAGAAACAGTGTTCCCTATTAGCCACTTGCTTTGCTAGCTAGTCCACAAACCCATTTGCAACTCTTGGAGTCCACTGAACTATTAACTAGATATCCCTTGTAATGTGCTTAATATTCTTGATCTCATTTCTGTATACCCATGGAGTCTTTCCATCCTGTTTTAGCCAGCTTATAATCACTTTGGAGTTGCCTTCAACAACCAACTTTCTCACACCTATTCCCATGGCTTTTTGTATTCCAAAGACCATTGCTTTTAGTTCAGCTGTAATGGAGTCCCCCCACCCAATAGGGCCGGAAAAGAGCCCCACTACACACCCCGTGTCATCTCTTATAACCCCACCAATTCCAGCCATGCCCGGATTGCCAAAACTGCTCCCATCAAAATTTAATTTGAGGAGACCAAATTCAGGAGGATCCCAACTCCTTACTACCTTCTTTTTTCCAGATGATGAGAATGCAACAGACCTCCAATTCCTGAGTATATCATCCACAGTAAAATCTGAGAATAAATCCATCAATTTTACCCATGAGATCACTTTTAACATAATCCCTTCTATCAGTAATTCCTTGCACCTTTTCTTTAATTAAAAAATTCTCTGATTTCTTTCCTCCCATAACATCCAAAGTACTGCAGTTCAGCTGTACTGCAGTCCGGTCTTACCAAGCTCACCGGGGTATCCCACCTGCACCCAAAGAGAGAAAAAAAACCAATCCCAGATGCTGCTGGCTATAGGACAGGAAACAAAAATATGAAGAGCAGTTTCACCATTAGATTCACACAAACAACACCAATTTGGTGATAGGCACCAGCTAGGCCTCTTCCTCTGCATCAGATGACAGGTGTTAATTGCACCATGGTAAACCTCCCAACAGAAAGCACCCACTTTAGGGGGGATAGGGCGACACCAGACTTCTCAGACTGGAAATTGGACCCAAGGTTGAAGAGATGTCAAGGTTTTGAAGAAGGACGCACAACTGAAAGCTCCAAGAGGATTAGAAATCAGATTCTAGTATCTTGCTTAGTAGGGTCAATAAAAATCCCGTCAAGCAGCTGAATAACCCCCCTACACCAAGATTATATGCCAGTAATGGATAATCTCAAAACAGGATCAATAAATGCACTAGCATGTACTATGTTTAATATGGATGCAAGTATGCAACAACTTGGATATAACCATGGTTAGACTTGAGGGAAAAACAGATGGAGCATTAAATGATCACAAAAAGACAAAAAACTCACAAGGGAGGCCCGTTGGAGATCTCCAAGAGAGCAAGGGAGGAAATTCAGGGGAGTCTCTATAAGTGCAACCATTGGAGGATGTAACACCATCACCTCCTCTGGATACCAAAGATAACTGGTGCTAAGAGATTAAATCCCACCCACCACCTGCAACAAGAGCTTAAGGGCTCAGAGGGGCTTTAAAGGGACCAGCAACTGAGAGCCTGAGACTTTTGCAGTCTGTTCTGAACCTATTGAAAACACTACAGCCATTAAAGCAGAATTATCATCTCTCTTCTTCAAGGCCTAAAGATAGGGTATTCTTTGGGCTGAGAATATTTGAGTTATGAGACTTGATGTGGTTATACGTTGGTTGGCATTCAATTGGAAGACTCGTGGACCCTTAGACACAACATTCAAGAGACAAGATTCTTAGCAAAGAGGTTTATCATCTCACTCTCTTGAGAATCCAAGATCAGCCACCTATCTAGATGATAGTCTTGAGTTCCTGCTCAACTCAGGAGTTAGCTTCGAGGGTGACTCAACCTCCTTTGAGAAGAAGAGAGAGGAATTGGAAGGAAAACTCAATGATATGATTCCATTTCTTCAAATTAGTTTCTTCCAGATCTCATCTTAACCATCTGATGTGGCTTCCTGTAATAGACATATCGAATGGGTGCTCTTCTAGATGTTGGGATGGGATCAGAAGGACCTGGGCCTGTAGGTGCAGCATTCTGGGCCTGACTTGGGTTTGCCACTGCTGGAGGATCTGGTGGGCTGGCTTAGGTTCTATCAACTCTTCCCCCCTCCCCCCTCTCCCACCTCAAGCACAACCTTGTCTTCAAGGTTGAGATGAGGGAATTGTTTATAGAATTGTAAACAAGGTTCCCAATTCACATCTTCTGCTGCCAAATTGGATCAACGTACTAAAGCCTGCTCACCTGCTTGCCTTGCTTGGCCCAATGGAAGTTGGTAGTTTGCTCTGACTAGATTAGAAGCTAAAATCTGGTAGTGTGGAACTGACTATCACAGTAGGGTTCAAAGATCTCTTCTGAAGACTGGATGCAGCTTGGAGAATGGGGGTAAATCCACTCTGTGGTTAACTTCTCCAATTCTTGTTGATCTGAGGAGCAAGTTTCTGCCAGGCTCGCTTAGCTATTGTGATCTGTCTATAAGGCTGCAGTTTCAGGTAAACCATATCTACAACTTGATATTCTAATGAACAATGCTTTTTTTTTTATCAATAACACCAGCTTCATTAAATTAAAAGAAAAGAGGGAATATGGGTACAAAAGGGGAGATAAAATATCTTAGCTCCCAAAAAACAGACTCCCTATTCACTCCTTGCTTGGCCAACCCATCTGCAAATGAGTTGGCACTCCTCTTCACCCAGCTGTACTGAATCTCAATGTCCCTACCCAGCCATAAGAACTGTTTTTTTTCATTGTTAAAGTTCCACAAACCACTGTCCTCTGTCTTCAACCAACTAACCACCACCTTCGAATCACCTTCCAGGATCAAACAGCTAATATTTAATTCATTTGCTCTTCGAATTCCTTCAAGCGCTGCAAGGATCTTAGCCCTAAGAGAGTCACCTTCTCCAATAGGGCCAGAGAATAAAGCAATAACAATCCCTTCCTCATTCCTGAAGACTCCTCCAAACCCAAAGGGCCCTGGATTCCTTACACTGCTGCCATCAAAATTCAGCTTTATAAAGTTCGAGGGGGGAGGGGACCAAAACGGACAAAGAGTCCTCTTGCATCTAGCATTGGAAGCAATCTCTTTCAGTTTCTTAGCAAGTCATCCACAGGAAAATCTGAAAACAACTCCAAAGATTTTAACCAGTGGACAGCCCTTAAAAGGATTCAATCTAACAATTCTTGCAATGTTCTTTCCTTGTCGGAAAAAATGCGCGAGTTTCTTTCTTCCCAGAATGACCAGCATACCGCTGCCCTAATACACCTCCACATAGTCTTCCCTCGCTTCCTAGGCCAACTGAAAAAAGAAGGAGAAAACAAACCTTGGACAGTCTCCGGAGGATACCAAGAACACCCAAAACGGGAGAAAGCCCACTCCCAAACAGTTTTAGCAGCCTTACAAGAGATCATGAGGTGGTAGCCAGATTCCCTATCAGCTTTACAAAGAGCACATCTATTAGGAAGTAGACAATAGTTGGGTCTCTTTCTCTGAAGTAAGTCTAAAGTGTTGATTCTTTCCGGGAAAATTTCCCAACAAAAAAAACCAACCCGAGGAGGAATAGGCCTGCTCCAAATTTCCTTAACCGGAAAGGACAACCCAAAGGGGATAGGAGGCTGAGTTAAGGTTTCAAAGAATGAAGCACAAGAAAAGGTACTAGAGCTAGAATGGGTCCAAAATCTGGTGTCTTCCTTGGCAGGGTTTAGGAAGACAATCTCAAGGGAGGCTAGCAAAGTTACCAAGCTATTCAAATGAACAATGCTTGTTATCATAAAAAGCTTTCATCTGTTGTTGAGCCTTGGGCAGGTGGACCTTGAGAGACTTCAGGACTTCATCCCTTGTCCTGAGCTGCTCATCAACTTCAATAACACTGATGCTCCTCTTTAATAAGGAAAAATAGAAGGTGGGTCCCATCCATATAATGCTTTGAATGGAGTGGTACCCATGGTACTGTGAAAAGTGAATTCGGATTATCTGAATGCTTTATCTCACCACCTGCTAAAGAAAAATGAAATACAGACAACACCCTATATCAAGTCAATAAGGGAACAAAAAGACCCAACTCTCCACAAGCTTAATTAGAACCTTCTTTACTTCTCCTGCTAGCTTTCTTTGGCTACTTCACCTTCTTAGTAGGCCAAACAGTCTTTCCAGTGGTCTTTTGGGCTTCTTAAAGGTTGGAAGACCAAAATTCAGTCTTTCTCCATTTGGCAATAAAAGGCAAAAAGCCAGAAAGACCTATGCCCTAAAAAGCTCACAGAAGCCCAAAATAGCCAAAAATCTAGAAGCTCCAAATGAAGCTTCCTGTCCTTTGCACCAGAAATCTTTCATTTAACAGGTCTGTAGACCATAGTAAAGTAGGATACTTAACAAACAGTCTATTATCTTTAAAGACAAGACCTCAAAGGTTCATTACATCTTTTGGCCATCTAGGCTGTCAGAAGATCGTCATAAAAAGACTTGCCAAATGGAACCTTAGTCTTGCAAACACTTTTGAGACCTAGATTGTTTGATGAGTTCTCTAACTATTGAATCTTCTAACAGCATTAGGCTTCTTCTTCATGACCATAAGTGTCTTTTAACCACCACTAATCCTTTCTAGTTCCAACACCGTAATTCTCTTAAAAAACTAATCCTGCTCCAACTCCTCCTTTTCCTATACGACCCATCCCACCTTTTTGATGAAACTCTGGCCTTGAGTTGACATCATTCTCTTCGGCACCCACACTAAAATCTCCTTTATCCTGCAAAGGCATCGGGTGTCTTTCTTCCAATACATTAACCTAGCAAAATCCCCCCTCCAAGAATATGTAACCTTGATGCTTTACAAACTTCCACTTCTAATTTCAGCACCTTTTATAGATCTACTGCCCCTTCACTTTCACGAGTCTCGTGACTCTTGTCTAACCTCATCTTCTTGATTTCCTTCTCCTTACTCTTTGGAATCACACTCAACATTGTCATTAAGAGGTCTTATTCTATATTTTCTGTTGTAGACCTTAGCAGAAGTCGCATCGCTCCCAACATTAGTCAACCTAGCTGCTTCTTCTCCTACTGCAACCTCCTCTTAACCTCCTCTTTGAACTAGACTTAGTTGCCTCCATCGATCCAAAAGTAAACTGATCAACCTTATTGTTAGCCACCTCCCCTATTACTTGCCCCTCCTCTTCACTTACCCACTCACCCTTCTTTTTTCTTGTACTTTCTCCCCTTTGTCTCCTATACTTAATTTGCCAACCTCCCCCTTGTGTGTGTCTCACTCACTTCACTGCAAAGATCAACCTCAAATTCTTCCTCTCTATTTTTTTTTCTTTTTTTATCAATAACTGCATAATTTATTAAAGAAAGGTAGAAAGGATTCATAGTATAGAAACCTCCATCTCTAATTTCACCAACTCCCCCCCCGCTAAATTACTTGATTTGCCAACCTCCCCACTTGTATGTGTCTCACTCAAATCCTTCACTAGAATCATTACCCCCTCCAACTCCAATCCATGGTGCTCACATGCGTCAACCACGTCCCCATCTAAAGCCAACACCTCACCTTTATTTTGATTGAGCCAAGCTTGCATGTCAGACAACAATTGGCACCCAACATTACCCCCACCCCCTCCTCGTCTACAGCCTCTGTTGAGCCACTGGAATGATCTGAAGCACCTTTTCCGAAGCTCCTTCATTAGAATAGGCACTCTCCAACCCTACTCATTTGCCTTTGCTTACCTACCTTCTACACCAACCTTATTACCACGAGGACAATCACATACCTTAGATTTGCAAGCAGACAATTTACTCTCTACAAGTTGAAAGAATCTCCTTGGATATCAAATTCCTGGCATCGTTCTTCACACAATCAACAGCTTCCAAAACTTCCATCCCAGAGCTAGAATCTTCAACATAGCATTGCCCACGATAGAACTTAAAACCCTCCCACCTAATGAGCCCAAAGCTCTAACTGCATTCTCAGATTTATTCAAGACTTGTTGAACAACCTGTGGTCCATGCTTCCTTAGTTCCTTGCATGTCCAAGATCATTAAGGTCCACCTCCTGAACAACCGGCCCAAACTCCAATCAAGATCGACCTAGTACATCCAATTTTCTTTAATAAGTAAAGAAAGACTTTTGATGACTCTTTGGATACCTCCCATGCTCCACATGTCCCCATCTTCAATTAAATTCCCCGACTTCTCAACTTCTTCAAGTAGCAAAATTCCAAAAGACTGTCATCTTCAACCTCAAAAACATCCTGATTGTCTCGACTCTTCTCATTCTTCCGCCATGAAATTCCTCCCCAACCAACAGCTACTCCCAAGACCATCTCATGGGCATCTCACCTTCAACCACGACTCTGAGAACATAACACTTGCCCACAAAGAGGAGATTAATCAAATCTGCAGTTTGACAAAGCGATTGCACTTCAACAAAGATTCTTGCTGCAAAAAGATTTTTCCATGTTCTAGTGCACTGATCAATTTTTCTAAATATTCCACATGCATCAACAATTGATTTAAATGTTTGTAAACACCAGACATGAAGTGGTATACCATAGACATACATTCAAAGTTTCAAACTAACCGAGAGCCACTAATATCTCTTAAAGCTCCAACCAAACAGATCAACAATCTAAACATGTCTGGCACCTCCTCTGCTTTGATTCCCATCTCAGCCACCAGTTTTCTTACTTCAACTTTATTTTTGGTTCTCCAAACAGAAATCACCCACTCTTCCAAAACCTCAGCTTCTGGCTCAAGAGTTAACAAAACAACCCACCAAGCAAGACTTGAACAGCCTGAATCGGTTAGAAATATTAACCTCAACCTCCATTGTCATTGTCATTATGAAGCCAAAAAAAACCCTCCATTGTCATTATTAATCTGAGTCGGTCAGAAACATGATAAATTACCTTTTTCAACTTGTACACCTTACCATACTCCCCTTGTGCTCTCCTTGATAAGTGTCCCTTAATAACTCATAATAATTATTGTAATGTTATTACTACTGCTACATATTATAATAATTTTTTCACATGCAATTGCTCTATTAAATACTTATTGTCTTTTAGTGTTGTGTTTGAAATATTTAAGTTAATTGACTTACAATGTTATTGTTTTTAGATATTATGATGTGCTACCTTTGGATAGGAAACTTAGTGTCATTAGTAAAGAGAAGTGCTATACGCCACATGTTCACCTCGATGCTTTGACACTCATATGCTCATCTTTTCATATTAATTAAGAGAAAATCTTTCTTGCCTATACATGCTTATGTGCTTGGAGTAGTGGATGTGTGTGATATATAAATGAAAAAATAGTAGCTGGATGAATGTAAATGAAAAGGGAAAATCAAGACCCCATGCAGTAAAAAAGATAGCTATTACATGATATATATAGATCCTTGTTCGACACTTTTGAATGAAACACCTTAACCTTATACTTTACCTCTTCAAAAAGGAAAAAAAAATCAAGATTGTATTCCAAAAACAGTTTGGATCAAACATCTGGATGTGCAGACTTACCTTGTTAAAGTTCCATACAGAATCACTGTCATCATTTGTGTCAAAGGTGCCCCAGGTAGGTTCATCAAAACTTTTGTCCCCAGAAACCATAGATTCAGAACCACCATGATCACTGCACAAGTAATAACTACAGACTCAGCTTATCCTTGCAAGTCATGAACAAAGCTGTATATGCAAAAGATAACACCTGGACAAACAACCAGGAATCCCCCACACCAGTTAAGTTGGATAGATTCTTTGGTGTCATCCCAGTGGGAGGAAAGATTCCCTGATGTTACACAGGAAACTCTTTCTCAGCTGGCTTTTGACCATATGCCGATTAAACCAAGTTGCAACAGGTTGGCATATAAGGTTCATCCTTTCAGATTTGAACACTTGTGGCTTGAAGAGGAAGCTTTGTTGGATTATTGGAGAACTGGTGGCAGTCTATGGAGTTTGTTCGATTGGCCAGCCATATTTTCAGCAGGAAACCAAAGAGGTAGAAATAAAGACCAAAAAGAGGAGGTAAAGTGACCTTCAAAGTTGTTTAAGTTCAGGAGTGTATTACTAAGATCAGTAAGTTCAGTAAAGTGGCCATTTCTTTCTTATTTGTTTTAAGGTGGTATCAGGATTGAAGGTATTCAAAAGAGAGAGATGTTTGTAACGGGGAAGAGGACAAAGGTGGCAGACTTGGTGGAGGTGTAGGGTGTGGTGTGGGGAAGTTGCTCACAAGATATTTGGGCCTGCCCTTGGGTACCAGGAGTAAGTCAAATAACATTGGAGCTCCAATGATGGAAAGATTTGATAGAAAATTGGCCTCGAACTGGGGTGGTTTGGGATGCAAGGGAAGTGAGCATTGGCTAAGGAGCTGGGATCTCATTCTCTGTCAATGCAGTTTCGGAACAGGAATTGTTTTGATTGGTTATTGTCTTCTGCGTATGGGCCTTTGGGGGACAATCAGAGGGAAGTAATATGGGAAGAACTAAAATGGGGCTAGTGGAGATTTTATCATCTTTGTATCCATAATTAATACAATACCTTATCTTTTCAAAAGAAGGAAAAAAAAAGTTAATTCCAATTGTAGGTCAGTCAAAGATGCACATGCCACACATCATATTTATGCATGTGCAGATGCAGGTAAATCAATATATGTATGTGCACTTCCACATGAAACTTAATCCATCATCCAAGCCTTATCCCAACTATATGGGGTTGGCTACATGAATCCTGTTCCACCATCCCATTGTTAAAACGATTAGTGCTTAAACCATTTCTTATTATTTCTACCCAATTCCGTTTTGGTCTACCTGTAGCCCTTCTAGCCCCTTCAACTTGTAATGAATCACTTCTTATGGGTGCTGTTGAAAGTCTTCTATGCACGTGACCAAACCATTTTAAGTCTATTTTCTCTCATTTTATCACCTATTGGACAACATAGCCTTGCGTAGAAGTGTACAAAAATCATAGCAAACGGAGAAAAGCTATATATATGAAGCAAATCCTAACCTCTGGTATCCTTTAGCACGGGGTGAACCATCTGCCCCAATGTTCTTTCCAGAATGGGTATCAGGAAAGTCTTGGTATGTGCTTTCAAATGTGCTCCTTCCTGCAGGGCTACCCGGTGGGCTTCTTGCTGAACCATCTTCACTTTGAGCATATGCTGATCCAAACTCATAGACTTGCTCACCTACACCTGTAGGCTTTTCTGGCTTAATATCAACATTTAGGGATGAAGCTGCAGAAAAACTCTCATCTTCAGAAATGTTCTCTTTGAAAATTGATGTTGACTTTGGTTTGGGTGGTGCTATGACATTTTGTACATCAAGACTAAGCTCCTTGACAAATGTGAATCCTGAAATAAGAAAAAAAAACATGTTATAACATAGATTATAATTAAGGCAGTACATTCTTCTACACTATTTGAAAATGATCTGATTTTACTACTTGTTCAAAATGAGAAGGGAAACATTAAGTCCAAGATGGGAACCACAGCCACAAAATTCCCAAATATAGCACTTGGCACCAAGGAGCATACATGTTGCACATGCCAAAGATCAGATCATACCTTCATCTTCAAACTTATCCCAATCTTCATCCCAAACAGCTGCCCCCTCTTGGATGCCAGGTTGCCAGCCTTAAAGAAGACAAAAAGAAATGAGGAAAAAACATCAAGAAGTTAAATATGAGTACAACTGTACAAATCTATATTCATAACATGGAAATCCTGGAAGATATTGCTGAAACACTGATCTCCACATTTTCATCATCACCAATACAAGTAACAGTATAAAAGTCAAACATGAAAAAGCTTATCTTTCCTACTAGATGTCTTTAGTACATTCTTGAACTACAAGGAAGAACATAAAAATCAAGATTGGAACTTTAGAATTTATAATTAAGCATAAAATGAAATATGAAGGTCAAACAGCTCCAACACTTGGATCAATGATTCCAACTGTATATAGATTTAAGGAACGAAAGATCCAATAATTCATACATAAATCCGAAATGTTGTTTGATCGACAAGGTCCAAAACATGATACAAGGTAAGGTTATAGAGAAAAGAGAATACCTAGAGGCCTATTCGAAACAACAAAATTTCCAGGATGACCCAGACATCCGAGTGAAAGAGGTTAGAGGAATAATGAGATCAAAGAAACAACAAGATGGTGAATGTACCAAGTGGAAGCTCAATGAGTGTAGTTGGCTTAACATGTAATCCGTGTTTCTTGCAACGCTCATTTAAACCCTTTGCCAGCTCCTCTAGGTCTGATTGGATGCGATCAGCACGAACCTTTACAAGCAAGCAAAGAACCGTACTCAGACAAATTTCCATATGCTCTAAATTGATTGATCATCTTTGAATTACCTGAAGAATACCATCTGCACTGCCACCTTGTTCCATTTTGACAATTGCCTGATATAATTCCATTTTCCTCTCCTACAAACAAATCAATTTTTTTTACCATAATCACCTGAATGGAGACTTGATAAAAGAATTATTGTCTAGGACATTTAGACAAGCTCAGACAGCAGGGACCATTTCCTGACCATCAATCAATGAAGCAATCTAGTTGAGATACCTGAACTTCACGAAAGGTAGCCTCCTCAATGGTTAATTTAGATGCTATTTCTCCTACTTGCTTGTACTTCTCTTCATATTTTTTAGCTAGTGACTCGGCCTGAGAAAACAAAGCTCCCATTATGCTAATATATATAAAAAAAAAATACCCTGATAGATGAGAGATATACAACCATGTCTTGAAATCAGATACCTCACGTTTATCAGCAGCAGCCCTTTCAGTTATCTCATTAAGTCGATTATCACATCGGCTTTTGTATAAAACCTAATACCAAATTAAAATCAGTTTAAAAATTAATTGAAAAGCAAAAGGCATTATGCAACTTAGTCAGAGGGAGAGAAAACCATTGTCAACATTAATCAGGAATTCAGGATATATGCATGAAGGTAAGAGGTACAAACATTTCCTGGTTACCCAACTTACCCTGGGTACCTATAGAATATACAAAATTGTAAGAACAATTCCTTTCTGCTTGTAACCTAGAATGCTTGACCTACAGTTGTATCAGTGGGCCAAGGGCACAGAGAGCCTTTGCACTGGCTGATAATTATACAGTAGAGTTTAGAAGACATTCTCAAATGTTGTGACTTATCCAGTAGAAATGCCCCAGTCTCATACGTATGTGTCTTGGCACTGTGGCAATGTCCTTTCTGGACAATGTTAGTGGTGGCTGTGGTGCCTAAGATATGATCATAGTCTTTCTACCATAGTTGTCAAGGCGTCTAGGTGATTGTAGGTGACAGTGGAGTGCCCAGTCACCTAGGAGATAAGATTTTCATAGAAAAAAATAAAATAAAATTTACCTAGTTCTCTAGTTTTGTATACCATTCAGCATGCATATTAAATGAAAAAATAGTGATTCTCTTTTTAAGAACATTGCATTTCCTCTCAAAACATGGCATATCATTATATCTAGGACAATAGTATTTCAAATATATTAATTTCAATAGTTTCAAAAATAATACTAATATAATAAGCATTTTAATAGAGCAATTTCATATCAAAACACTTGGATCTTTTTTTATCAATAAAATAACAGAATTATATTCAAAAAAAGGAATTATGTAAGTACAAAAAGGGAGAGGCAAACTCTCTTAATCTCCCTAAATCATATGCAGAAAAAAGAAAAAAATACAACATAGCCCAAAACATATGATTCCTTCCCATTCCCCGTTTAACCAACGTATCAGCAAAGCAGTTAGCATCTCTCTTAATCCAGTTCATGTAGACTTCCATTCCTTGTGTGAGATGCCTAAACTTTCTTTTCTCATTAATGCATTCTGATCACCCCATCTCCTCCTTTTGGAGCAAAACCCTTGCATCTTTTAAATTTGAATAATACAACTTTAAAACAATGTATAAATGATATATATAATATATAATAGAATGTAATAATACACATAGTAGTAACAAATAGCAATGCAAATGATATTACAATAAGGTGTCTGCTTGTCATTCTTTTTGCCAACCATGAACACCACCATAAGATTTTGAGAAGCATGTTAATTTAATCACAGCTGAGTGCCAGTCATTTGGAAAACCACCTCAATCCCTCCAAAAATAAAAAAGCACCTCGGTATCTATCAGTCATGTGACCTGCAGACAGGTATGTTGGTGCCACTCATGTATCCTGAGGCTCAATTTGTCACTCATGCAAATTTAAAGCAAAAATGTTCAATAAGTTACCTGCAGGTTCTAATCTCAAATGATCTTTAAGAAAACCATTTTAAGTTTCAGTCAATTTATCAAGATTCTGATGCTATAGTCCAGACCTTACAGGAATTATCTGATCACAACCCACTGCAGTAGTACAGTTCAAAGAAAATCAGCATAATGTTGTCCAATTGACAAATCCCTTATTATTAGGAGAGTTCCTTCAAATAAGGCTAACAATGTGGATCTACACACAACCAAAGTTACCAAGGTACAAGTGTGACCCTCAAAACTTGAATTGATTATCTGATGGGAAAACTCAGTAACTAATATGAGTTTTTCTTTGAATCATCAATAATACTAATTATTGGTAAGTAATGTATTCGAGTCCCAAAAAGAATGGACTTCAAGCAAGCTTTGAAAATAATAAAGTAAACTAAACAGCACCTAGAGGAGAGTGCATATCAATAGAAAGGAGAATAACTCCCAAAACAGGAAGGAGAAACCACTCACAAGCTCCTGCATTTTACTGCGGTAGAATTCAATCTTCTCTTTTGAATCTAGAATCACCTTCTCCGATTCTTCCACCTTCAATTTACAATAGGACAGATAGATCAGATAGAGAAATTAGATGCTACAAAGGAAACTTCAAACCAAAAGAATATTTTCATTAATTTTACTAAGTTTATATCCTTGCCATATTTCAATATCATTAATGGCATAAATTTCCTATTAAAACTACTATACAAGAAGCAAATACAACACTTACCTATATACATGTTGGCTTTAACTAAAGTCACTAATACTGGATTATAGTGTTGCTAGAGACTAGAAACAAGGCACCAAGACAACAGAGAATATTGATTATATGGATTTTTGTCAAAGGCAAGATATTGGCAACAAGGCACTGCCAACTTCCAAGAATGCACTATATTAAATTGGGGTTTCATCTTGACAATATTTGGTCACTTGTGTAGTATATAGAAGCAATATTTGGTCACTTGTGTAGTACATGGGGCAGACTATGTAAATCTTGTCTTGCCACTTCACTCCATCAAAGGGAGATGTCCTCCACTAAATTGTGAATCATCTGGATCTTTTTCACCCCCTCCGTCCATGGCCTTGGCTTTTCCCCTAGCCCTTCTAGAACTCTGGCTTTGTACAGATCAATCTTTCTTACTGGTATAGTGTGCATTCTTCAAAGCACCCGCAAACACCATTTCAACCTACCTTTCATCATTTTGTAACCTAGAGAAGCTATTTTCATCTCCACTACACTCATAAATATGCTGCTTTATGAACTACTGATATAGAGGCAGTATTCCCCTAGCTCTGTGAGCTAACCTATATAGCCCCCCCCCCCCCCCCTGCGGATCATTGTTTGCCTTTTAGCTAAGAAATCAATAACTGTATTAGCACATCTTAAATCCATGAAAAAGAAGCTCCCAAGCCCAAGGTGCAGGCTAGAGATCATGAAGTACAGACATAAGATAAGGGATCGTGGATGTTCAGATGTCATGTACCTCTTAACTATAAAGATGCACTGGTCGATGGAGATTCAGAGGTAATCATTTCATGGATAAGGAACAAGAAAGCATGACTGTGCCCTGGAGGTACAGACATATGATAAGGGAAATCATAAAACTGACATGGAAGACCAGAGATGAACACTGTACTGGGGATCATGCCCCCTCCCTTGTTTTATTCCCATCCAGGGATTATTGTAATTGAGAGAGAGTAACAGTGGGATTAGCTCTCCAATAAATTCTGATCAGTTACCACTACCACCACCACCCCATTATCTAAGCCTTGTACCAACAACATTTGGGGTTGGCTACATGAATCCTGTTTTGCCATATCCATTTTTAAATTATGAGCCCTTAATCATTCCTTACTACTTCAATCCATGCCCTTTTTGGTCTGCCCCTAGCTCTTCTAGCTCCTAGAACATGTAGCAGATCACTTTTTTGTATGGGTGCTGTAGGTGTTCTCTGCAGTGACCAAACCATTTTAGTCTACTTCAATTCATATTATCACCTATTGGAGCTACTCCAAGGTTCCTCTGAATGAGTTCATTTTTTACTCTGTCATTTCTAGTTTTTTTATAGTAAAATAAAAATTTATTAAGAAGAGAGAAGAAAATACAATATGATATGTGACAGTTAAAGAGCCTCAAAAAAACAAACCTTCAACCAAAGAACCCCAATCAAAACCAAAAATCAATACCTTTCCCCATAACCTTTTTTATCATGGCTCAATAAACACAACCAAAACAAATTCACCAATTAACCCATTGACAATAACACACACCCAAAACAAGCTCAGCAATTAACCCATTAATCATACCCTTGTTCGCTTAAACCTCTTCAAACTCCTTTTCTGCCTCCACTCCTTCCTCCAAATCTTTTGAATCATTGCCTTCTTTCTTTCTATTTTCTAGCTCCAGTAAGGCTTTTCTTTCAAACTCTCCCTCCCAAAAAGAACAAACCTATCAATTTACTGACTTGAACTTCCACTTCAACCACCCACCTTCTCCACCTCCAACCTCCCCCCCAATTCTACAATCTTACTTGATCCAGCACAACATCTGACTCTTCCTCTTGTCTTCTTCCTTTTCACTCCTAGAATCTGCACCCTCCCTCAGGTTAACCTGAGTTTTCCCCCTTTCCTCCTTGCTCCTCAAACAATTCTCCTGCTCTGATAATACTTGATTTCCATGGTCATAACCCTTCTGGTTCTTTTATTTTACTTTTATCATCTTTCTGAACACTTTTAAATTTGTTACAAAATCCTGCACCGATGAAACCTTCTTTCAAGCATGAAAACACTTTGGTTACATGAACAACTTTTGATTGGTAAATTGTTTTTCTTATAAGTAATTTTCGATTGGCAAATTCTTACAAGAGCAAATGCTTTTAGTTATAAACCAAATGCATGAACATCAACTTCAAGCAACTCAAAGCAAATGAGCAAACTGCCCTAACTCTGTCACTTAACTTGCACCTAAATATAAGGTAAATATAAGGTAGTAAAACTTGTCAAATTGGCTTGGGAATAGGAAATATTTCACTTAGGAAGGATCACCTAATTAATTGGGATCAAGTTAGAAAGCCCAAGGATAAAGAGGGTTTGGGAATAGGAAATATTTCACTTAGGAACTCAGCTCTGCTAGGAAAATGGTTGTGGAGGTTCCCTTTTGAGAGAGATAGACTGTGGCACAAAGTCATTGCGAGTATCCATGGTTTAGAAGGGAATGGTTGGGATGCAAAAGTTGCCCCTCATGTATCCTCTTGTTCTCCTTGGAAAGCTATCCATGAAATTTAYCCATCTTTCCTTAATTCCATTCGGTTTGATGTGGGTCAGGGCAATAAAGTTCGTTTCTGGGAAGATCTTTGGATGGGAGATAGTCCACTAAAAGACCTTTTTCCTAACCTATACTCTTTGTCAAACTTAAAAGGGAAAACAATGTCTTTTGGGTAATCCTGGCCCAAGTGGGATCAATTGGAATCTGGGTTTCAGAAGGGGCCTAAGTGAAAATGAATGTGCATCTTTAATTCACTTGTTGGATATTCTAGGACAAGTTCTTTTGGACCCGTCGTTGGAGGATTCCAGAATTTGGAAAGGCTCCACAAATGGCCTCTTCTTTTGCTCCTCTTTCTTTAATGTCCTTGCCTCACCTAGCAACCCGGCTGGGGACTTCCCTGTAAAAGAAATTTGGAGTAAGCCTATTCCCCCAAAAATTCAAGCCTTTTGTTGGGAAATTTTCCTTGGTAAGGTTAATGCATGTGATATGCTGCAGAAAAGAAGGCCTTTTGCTTGCCTTTCTCCTCACATGTGCTCCCTTTGTAAGGAAAGTGGTGAGACCTTTATCATGTTCTTTTGTGCATCATGTTTGGGATTCTTTTTGTCTTCTCTTTGGTTGCAGGTGGGTTTCCCCTCAAGATGTGGTAGGTCTTTTTAACCGTGACTTTTTGAGGTAATCAAAGAAAAAAAGGGAAGGTTATGTGGAAAGCTACAAAGGCAGCTATTTGTTGGGTGATATGGAAAGAAAGGAATAACAGAATATTCTTACAAAAGAGTAGAACCACGGAGGAGGTGATTGACACAATCGAAGTTAAAGTAGCCCATTGGGTAAGTTCTATGCATATATTCCAAGAGTTCTCAGTCACAGACATTATATGATCCTAGAAAAAAGTAGCACAATCTTCAAGAGTGAAAGAGAGTAAGGATGGAATGGAAACCTCCAAATGGTAACAGAATTAAATTGAATTTTGATGGAACTTCATTTGGGAATCCGAGATTGTCAGGTATCGGGGGAGTAATCAGAAATTATGAAGGGAGGATATTAGCACTATTCTTTGGACCTATTGGCATAGGCAACTCTCCAAAAGCTGAGGTAATGGCATTGCTACAAGGATTGAAGATAGCCAAGCAACTAGGAATGAGGCAAATTAAGGTTGAAGGGGATTCCAAGGTGATCATCTCTTGGGCTAATAACAATAGAACTACTCTGTGGACCTTCAAACAAGTGATAAGGGAAGTGGAAAAGGTTTCAAGGGAGATAGAAGCAGAATTCAAATGGGTTAGAAAGAGTGCAAATGGGCTAGCTGATTATCTTGCTAAACAAGGGGCTTTGAGGTAACAACTGTTTTGGGCTGCATTGTAAAGGGGACAGAAATATGTATTTGTGTGAGACTTCTTGCTCCATACACATCGTTGTAAAACTTCTTAAATCTAATTTCAATTAAAAGTTTCCTTTGATGATCAAAAAAAAAAAAAAAAACTTGTCAAATTGGCTTGATTTTGATGCCACTAGAAAAGCCATCCACTTGCCTGTGCAACAAACCCAAGATTTGCACAATTTGGATATTAACTAAGGTGATTATGGGCAAGTTAAGAGTTTGCAATAGGAATATAGGATTTCCTACTTTTCAGTTCTTTGAGTTTTTTAATTATATTTTGTTGGCTTTAAAATGTATTTTTGTAGGTGTTGGTTTCAGAAGTAATTATACCATAGAAGATATGGTAAAAAACTGTAATGGGTAAAGTTTGTCCACAAAAAGATCTCTTTTGGTTGCAACCAACCTAAAAGACATATTTTGTTATCAAAAGAAATAGAAGGCCAAGTGTTTGTCCTCAAAAGGATCTGTTTAGACTCTTTATAGAACAAAAATAGGTAATTAGCATCTTCCTTTGCTTCAAAACACATAGTTACTTGCCAAGTTGATATCTGTCTTTAGTTAATCTTGAGCTAACATCTTTCCGAGAGTCATCCATAATTCCATACAAATGCTTTTACTTTAGGGAAATGGGATTACCCCATATCTTTTCTTAGCCCAAAGTTTGAAGCAATCTCATGCCTTCTCTGATTTCTGTTTGCAGCTGGATTCCACACAAGTTGACACCTTGACCCCTTCTTGCCCTATAATAATGTGTAATGGTGCAGCTCTTTGATGTATGCATAATCTATAAAGGTGAGGGCATGTGTCATACAAATTTTCCAACTAAACACCAAGCATCTTCCATAACCTAAACCCGTACCCACTTTGGAGGCACAACCAGAATTAAACTTATTGGGATCCTTTGTTGTTTGCTTCCATACACACAATTCAGATGTTCTTTCTAGCAGTCTTGTGTCCCACCTAAAATTGTACTCTCAATATTTCTCCACCATCACCCTCAAGGCACTTGCTACTGCTGCCAAATGGCTACAACCAAGCGTCTTATCCACCAACCTAGTGTTAAGAAAATAAGGTTTTGTAAGGGGGAAAAAAAGAAAAGGGGATTCCTAAAGAAGAGAATATAAAGAAAATCTAAGAAACAAACAACTAAAACCTATTAGAGGGAACTCTGGTGCAACTCAGTGGATTACAAATGCAACAATAAAACAGTTAAGTTAATCTTTCATCTGCCAATCCAAGAGCTGGTTACTTGGTTAGATTACCACTCAATGAATCAATTATAGCCACTCACTTCTTTCATAAAATGGGACTAAATGCCAAGGGAAGGGAAGGGAGACCAAGCAAGAAGCAAGACTATGTGAGTACATCACTCAAACAAACAAGATGATTAGTAAAACATGGAGGGGGAAGAAATGCCTTTTTGTCTGCTTCTGTTGCCTCTTGGAACTTCGAGTTTAATGAATTCTGTTCCTCTTTACTGAGTTGGTTAACAAGGTTCTTCTCCAATACTGGCACTCCTGAATTTTGCTGACTGGGTTGTCCCCTCTCATCAGCTTGAGAGGGCATAGGAACTTGCATTGGTGGCCTAACACTACCTGCAGGCCTGATTGTCTGTGGAGCAGGCATCCTTTGCTGTTGTTGAAAACCTAACCACGAACAGGAAAGGATAAAAAATCCAGAAAGATTTGTTTATGATTATAAAGAAATGGTTTACAATGTGAAAGAATACCAGCAGTGGATCCCCAAGCTGCAGTTCCATATCCAGAAGGTGGTTGACCTGTGATGGACAAGAGTTTCTCATCGAACATGATACTGCTTGGTAGTGCTGCTGGTAGAGGACGGCCTTCCCTGTAACGCTCCATTAAGTAGAGTGCAGTACAGAACTCTTTCAAAGATAACATGCTATCATTATCCTGATCAGATAAGTCCCAGACCTGCTTTAAGACCTCTGACAATTGCCAACAGTAATAACATAAGCACATTATTATTATAGAACACAATAACAGCCATTTCATATTTTATGCTTACCACATGTCGAGGGGAAATATTAAATTGTTATTGAAGTTCCAAGCAACATGTAATTTGCACAAAAAGATCTAGGAAAAGAACATAATAGAAGCAAAGATAGCATAAGACCACATTTTGACACCATGACATACAATTAAACATGCAGGGGAAAAAAGGGAAATTGAAACACGGGCACAGACAAAGCAAACCATAAGTTTGTGAGCTGTTCACTAGCCATCTGATAATGGAACAAATTATCAGTGCAAATTGCAATGCATTATAGTTCAAACATCAATAGTAATGAAAACAATAAAAAACAGAGCAGCCTGCAGCATTACACATTCTTCAATAGAATCCATTGATCAGATGGGCATTATTGCCCAGTGTCTGTGTAGATCCATGCATTGTGCAAAGGGGCTACAAGGTCACCCAAGGTTAGGCAACCAAATGAATGGTGTAGATCCACCTCTTGTGTGACAGACTATAGAGCTTAAAATTGCAGCATTGAACCTAGATAAGAAAATCTGCCTTGTAAGAGCATACTGGTAGACTTTGATTTCAAACGCACTAAGTGCATTAGTCAGTTAATATCGTGATTATCATAGAAAACATAAACCTCAAAATTAAATAAATCAACAAAAGCTATCTACCTCTTGGGAGTCTCCAACTCAAAAACAGGTTGCGGGCCTGTTCCCCAGTGATTTTTCCATCTCTATCAGTATCTACCTCCACAAATACTTTTGTGTATTTCTGAATATCAGATTGAGTCATCTTTGGCCAGGGAAGATGCGACTGGCTGGGAGCAGAATTGCCAGAACTAACCGAAATTCCTGATGAAATAAATGCAGAGTTCTGTGTTGAAACCTGCTGATTTTGTTTCTCCAGTGACTGGGGCTGCTGAAGCTGACCACCTGCAGGTTGAGTCATGAATGGACTCTGCAAAGAGTCAAGTGGCCCCTGTGTAACTGGTGGCTGAGGCCCTTTGGACACTGGAACTATGGCAGATGACATAGGTACACTGCTTGCAGAAAATGTAGGTGCAGAGGAATCTTTTTTTGCAGAGAACACATCTCCTCCGAAACCCGTGTCAGAAGTAAACCCGTTTCCAGAAACTACCAATGCTTTAGAATCCTTAGCTACAGGTTGGAGTGATGCTAAGACCTGATCTTGTGGTTTTGGTGCAACTGAAGTTGTAAGCCCAGAGGTACCGGGTGGCATGGAAGGTGGTAATCCTGAAGGTGCCAGTCCAAATCCACCCTGACTTGCGGAGGGAGAAATCCCCCTATTAGAAATTTGTGAGGTTGCTATCGCTGGAGCTCCACTGATCCTTCCACCAAGCCAATCAGTTGAGACATTTGAGTTTGGAGGGCGTGGGCCTGCTAGAGTTCCTGTCCCAGGGTACCCTTGACCAGTGACCCCTGGTGTAGTAAGTGAAGCAGAACCAGCAGGCATAGCTTGTTGTGGCCTCATGAACTGATTGTCCTGAAGAGGGAAAAACTGCTGGTTCATAATTGCATTTGGAATACCTTGTGGGCCTCTGGAGGCAACATTCTGGGATGAAGTAGGTGCAACTGCACCAATCTGAGGAGAAGGCACAGCTGTCATATTACTGATCTGAGGTGCAGATGTGCCTCCAAGGTTTATCTGGGGTGCAGGGATTTTAGCTGCAGCTGGACCATATAATGCTGCCTTTACAATATCTGGGGTTAATTCTCTCTTACTTTGTGCAACAGTAACTAATTTGAGAGCATTATAGAACTCTGCCCTACCAAGAAAACCACTCTGGTTCTGATCAGCATGCATCCATATCTGCAGAACAATAATGAATTAATAAGCTGGAGAACATCATTAAAAACATTTACCACAAGCAAAGTATAAACTCACAAGTTTCAATTTTGCAAGTAAAAACCAAATATCTAGACATCAGTTACATGAGATCCATAGGATAATATCATATTCATATCCATGAGATCCATGTACAAAGAGTAGGTTGGCAATACCACATAATTTCAAGATGTTGCTTTTGATGTGTATATACATCAAAACGTCAAATAGGCCAGTCAATGATACCCAAAAATCCAAGGCCCAATCCGAGATCCGATCCAATTATCTTGGATTCAGATGATGTATTTATGTAATCGGATCATATTCGAATTTTACAATCTGCATCTGATTAATAATCGGATCGGATTCAGATTGACCCCACCCGATCCAATTAAAATCCGGATCTGATTATATTATAATATTTATTGATTTTAAAATTAAAGCAGGGTGGGATTACATCCGAATCCAAAATGAGTCCATTAGGATTTGAATTCAAATCCAATCAGATTTTAGATCAGATTCGGATGCAAGTTTTCAGTAATCAGACATATTCGGATTTTGTTGAATCTGATCTGAAAGTGATCCAATTACAGCCGTAACGTCAAACAAAAGGTTGTGTTCACTCCAAAGTCATATATGTTAGTCAGTATACATATGCATATTGCAGAACTAGCTCAGTGTATACTTTATGGTAGATAGGCTGGCTAGTTAATGTAATGTAAAGCAATGCTGTTGGGCTAGCCTCAGCTAGTCTCTTCTTCGCATCCTATACTTTGTTTCAATTTTTTTAATGAAGTTATCCGTTACTAATAAAAAACGAACATTGTTAAATCAGTGAGATTTACAATTTGAATTGAATGGGAACCATAGTGATTAAAATCCTACCACTGAAACCCTTTTTATTGCAGAACTATCTCATGATTCCTTTTTTTTTTGAGGAAAAAGGTAACTTGCATTAAGGAAAAAACATGTGTGTGAGAAGATGTACACAGAAAAGCAAAGAGAAAAAGCCCAACCAAAATCAGGGCATCAAAAGATCGTCACACAAAAAACTTCTATGCACCCCCACCTTAGCAAGACCATCAGCAACCAAATTTGAGTCCTTTGGGATCCACTGAAAGACAGAATGCAGAATCTGAGCTACGTCTTGAGCCTCAGTGAAAAAATGAGAGTCTCCATGGTGCACCCTCAGAAAGACCCAACCAAGTGACCACATTAGCTGAATCTCCAAGCACCAATAAGGATGAAAGATCAAGCTGTATAGCTATATGAATCCCGGTTAATTATTGATCAAAAAAAAAATATGAATCCCGGTTAATACATATAAAACCTCCACCTTTGTGGTATCTGCAGTACCAATTGGCCACTAAAGGGCCACAGCACAGCGCCATCGGGAGATAGCAGCACCCCCACCAATACCAGTGGAGCCAGGATTGCCAAACGAGCTGTGATCAAAATGAAGCCTCACCTCATACCAGTCAAAAGCATGATACAGCATCTTTATCTCTCCTAATGCCACTAGGCTGTATGTAACAAGGAAGATTTTCTGTTGAGGTCATCCAAAGAGATGTCTTGAAAATTGAAATTCTTCCTCACTGAAGCCTAAGAGTTACACAGCAGGAAAAGTCTAGACTCAAGCACCGGTTCCTCTCATCCCAAATCGCCCACATAACTGCATGTGGGATAACGCTATAGTAGAGTTTCCCAAACTTCCAAAAGCACTTGATTCTTTTTTTTTTTTATCAGCCACTTGATTCATAATTTGAACCCCATGAAACCTTACAACTCATGCAACTCAATAGGATTCAAAGCCAACAAGCTAATTATAGAACCAGTTATTTCCTCTAGTTTCTAAACTTAGGTCAAGGGGAGACCGTATCAATTAGGTTGTTGAATTTTGGTGTTTTTTTCAACAAGAAAACTACCAAATAGGAGAACAAAAATAAGAAATAGAATTGGTATTTTTTTCAATTAAAAAACGACCAGAGTAAGGAAATAGCAGATTAAGGCTGTAATCAGCCCCAAATGGGAGAATAAAAACAAGATGAAGTGAGAGAAGATTGGGCTGGGTGAAGAAATCCCTATAGCTTCTCCACTTGTTGCAGAAAAAATAAACAAGAAGAAAAAGAGTGCTTTCTTAATAAGATTGTCCAATATTTGATTACCTTCACTGAAGTTCAACCTTTTGTACCAAAACCTACTAGGAATAAATCCTAACCACTGTCTCGTTTTCTATAAGCTGGATTTTGGACAATCGAAACAGCACAAATAAAGTTGGGCAAAAATACCAATATGGTTTACATAATTGGGCTAAAAAACTGTTAAGAAAACTGATTCATTAACTGAAGCCCAACCTTCCATACCAAAACCCTAATAGGAATAAATCCTAACAAGTCATTTCCTGTAAGCTGGAATATTGACCATCAAAACAGCAGAAGTTGGGATAAACCACAAATAAGACTGATAATAACAACTTAAAACTCACAGGACACTTGAAGCTCGAATGACTTCACTCAGAAGCCAAAACTCATACCTTTATTTTAAACTAAGATTCTAATGACTAGAATAACAAAAACAGCAAGACATATTTTTCTTAAATCTAATATATGCAACTGAGTCACCAAAGAAATGAACATGCATTCATCCATACTTGATAAATTCCAAACCTGACATTTGCCGTTTCTGTCATTTCTAGCTCAAAGAATAATCAAGTACGTGCAGAAGAAGAGAATATCAAAAACTTCAAACAAAACTCAGATTCAGTCCTCACAAAACGGTGTTCACACCATACTCACAGCCAATTGCAACCATGTATTGGGAATATCTCCTTAGTCCTTACTTGTATGTTTTTATTTATGGGGAGATATTCTCAATGCACAACTGCAAGTAGCTGTGAGTACTGTGTGAGCACCTTTTTGTGGGGACTGAATCCCATCTCCTTCAAACACTTTCAAGGCTGCATTGGATATTCATTTTTTTCTTTTCATTTTTTAACCAGTAGTTTGGAAATTTTTCCCTTTTATCATTCGGGAGAAGATGTTCTAATTCAGATTCCAGATGCTAATAAGATCATTGCAATACATGTAGCAATTTGGCATGGATCCATTGCAAGGTCTATATGGAGCACTACCGTATTTGCAATTGACTACCCATCAAAGAGTAAAAGCCAACTAAGTATGGACACAATTTTTTTAAGAAGTATTCTATTGTATCCCTTTTGGTCAAAAAATGCATCAGCCTATGTGCATCAAGGTACTATACATTGGGAATTTACAATACAGGAACTCGCTGAAAGGGACTTTGGATCACTAGCCATCTGAAGAGAGTGCCCTTCAATCTCCTTAGAACTAAGGACAGAATTGTTTTGGACTTTCATTGTATTCCATGCAAAATAATTTAAAAATCCAATCAGAAAGACCTCTTAAGAAAGTAAATCTCTTGATCTAGTACAATAACATGTTTCCATAGTTCCATAATCATCCATATTCCAAATGCATGGGAACTTTCATTTCTACAGCAAAAAGTGCTCTACTGACACTAGAACAAATAAACACACACAGCACTTAGATCCCAAAAACCCATTCAACCCGATCTAGAGAACCATATTATAATATCAAAGTTCAATAAGATGAAAATTGGATAGACAGAGACAATTTTAAGAAGGAAAGCATTAATAGTACCTGTGCGAGGACTTGTTTTGGCAAATTTGAACCTTGGAAGAAGGCAACGGCTTCAGCTCCGCTTATCCTCCCATCCCGATCCAAATCAGCTCTTCGAAAATAAGTATCAAACATATCCACGTTCGGTGCTTGGTTTTGGCCCGCCATTTCAACAACCACACCTTAATCGAATTTCACAGAATTCACAGATCAGCTCTCGGTGCGAAGCCAAACAGACAGTTCAAACAGCAAACGAATCCAAGCAATTTGGACCAAAGAACAGAGACAGAGGGGAGAGAGAGAGAGGGCCCAAAACTCAAGGTCCTCTAGTCGACGTTCGGACAGAGGACAAAATGAGGGTTTATAAGATCCCAGTTGTAAGGAACCGCTGGAGAGACGAACAAAAGGGTTTTGCTGGTTGGATCGAAATATTGTATAGGGTAGATCGATGACAGATGATGACGGATGATTGAAGGAATTGGGTTTTGCGTAGATTTTGGCGGCTTTGGACACAGATATACCAGAAAAATGAGATCCCCCTCAGAAATGCATCCTCGGTCGAGGCGTGGACATTCCTCGCTCGATCGAGATTCGAGAGAGGACGGGACGGGACTGTAACCCGGCGGACCATTTAGGAAATTTCATAATTTAATGACACAAAACACCCTTACTTTTTAAGAAAATACAAAATTTTCTTTTGATCATTCATGGTACTATATACTTATTTTAATAATTGCTAACTTTGAATTGTCAACCATCAAAGGAACATCTGAACTCTTGGCTGCTGAAATCATCCAAATCTCGTTAATAGTGCGGCACCAGAAATTAGATGATAAGCATACTTCGATTAGATACCATTTAATTCGATTGTTTAGTCTCGAATAGCCAACTTTGGGGGCAGAGACGCTTATCACTCTCACTTTCATTTGGAAAAAAACAGGGTTTTCACGTCAGAATTCTGAATTCACTACAACTTTTCAAAATGTCTAAAATTCACCTTGTTAATAAGTTTTTATTTTTTAATTCACCTTCGGTTGGTGCACCGTTAATGCTTCTTAACAAAGTTATCTATATCAACATAAATAATAATTTTTATGATCAAATTACCCTTAAATGGTGAGTTAGAGGAAAAATGGTCTTTTTTAGTTTTCAGTTTTCTTTTTTTTTTTATGTTTTGTTATAATTTCCAATGTTTTTTTTATCATTTCTGTTTTTTACATTTTTCTATTTTTTACAATCTATAAATTTTCCTGTATTTTTATTATTTATTTACAATTTTTGTGTTTTCTATAACTTTTGGTGTTTTCTACAATTTTTATTTTCTGTTATTTTTTTCAATTTCTATAGTTTCTATCATTTGAAAATAATTTTTTATTTTGTTTGCAATTTCTATACATTTTTATATTTTTTGTAATTTCTATGTTTTTATGTATTTTATATTTGAAAATATGTTTTTTAACTTTTTTCCTTTTTCATATCTAAATATTAAAATGGTAATATATTAACACCCGTTAATTTATTTTGTATATATTTTATATTTTTCTATGAAGGTTAAAATGGTAATATATTAACGCCCGTTAGTTTGTTTAACGTCAAATTAATGACATGGTGAGTTTTAGACATTTTGAAAAGTTGTGGTGAATTTAAGAGAAATGCTGAAAACTCATGATGAGTTTTAGACAATTTCCCAGATTTTAAATATAACTCCACTTATATTACTAATACCCACTCGTGCATTGGCATTAATCCCAAGCCGACACCTGAGCTAAAAATTGTTGGGGTAAATTGAATAGTAAAAACCCCTTGAAACAAAACCCCCTTAGATTTTAATACTTCACTCCATCTATCTCTTAGGAGGGTAAAAGACTTAAACCTCCTATAATTTTTCAGTTAAATACTGAAACATCCTCTCTCACTTTTAGTAGACAAAACCATCTCATATGTTAATCTTCTGCCCATGTTTGTTAACAATTGACATCATTTGTGTTTTACGTGGACAAAAACCTCTCTTCATCGAGAACATGCAACCTTAAACAAATAGGATGCTGACATGATATGAACGGTGGTGAAGTTTTCACCTAAGGGTTAAAATGGTGGGGTTTTTTTCTAAATTGATCACAATTAACTTAATTCCAATTTTAACCTGAGGTATATTATTCATTTTTCTATCACTATTATAAATAATGTTTTTATAAATGTAAGAAGGGAGTTCCAAGTCCAATTTGAAAAAGTGAGGGAATGTTTTTGATATTTAGGTTGTGTTTGGAATCGGTGTAAATCAAGAACGGTGTAAAAGTTTACATCAATTCGATTTTGTTCGCATTTGGAAGGAGAGTGTAATCATGATAAAAAACTCCATTCTGATTCAGTATTGCATACATTTTGATGGAATGGGGGTTTACGTCGATAATCAATGTAAAACCTATAAAATGTAAAGTTTTACATCGATTATCGATGTAAAATACTACATCGATTTTATTGATGTAAAATTTTACACTCTTCACCCATCATGTTTTTCAAAAAGCAATGGTCATTTTCACGGTTTAGTGTAAAACATCGTCGGTGTACTTTTACACTGATTCCAAACACAATAGGTGAAAAATCAGAGGAGGTTTAAGAAACAAGATTGAAATGTAACCTTGTTAAATATCTCTAAACCCCCAAAATTATCCTTTCATTAAGTTGTGGGGCCATTTTGCCTTTCACTTACCTAAACTCTTTACTTGTGTTTATTTCTTCTTCTTTCTCATAGTGAGTGTTTTATTCAATTAGAGTTTAGAAGAGAAATGGGTAAGAAAGGAGAAAATATGCTTTGCTTGCCCATCTTCATCGTTTTCAAATATTACTAGTGGAGGAGCCCTACTTCGCAGGGCTGGAATGGAACCGTCGACCCATTGACTTGGTCTCTGGCAAAAAATTGTTGAATCGGTTAATGACCCATTGACCCGAGCGGTCGAACCATCGACCCGTTGACCCGTAAAATGGTTTTTTGGCCGTTTTTATTTTATTTTTTAATTGGGAACCATCTTGGCAACCAGTTCCGTTTTATCACAATCTTGGTTCCTAGCCAAAAATCATTGAATTGGTCAATGACCCATTGATCCGAGTGGTCGAACCATTGACCCATTCAATGGTTTTTTGTCTTTTTTTTTTACTTTTTTAATTTTGTTGTCAAAATGGGCCATCCATTCAAATCGAATAGTCGAACTGTCGACCCAAAAACCGGTGGCCATAATGATTTTGTTTTCAGGTCGTATGAGTCACATGCTCGAATGACATAACACGTATGGTACTACTTAATGGACCTCACACATTCAATTTTTTACCTGTAATTTTTGTTGTTAGAACGAGTCATTTGTTTTTTTTTTATTATTTTATTATTTTTTTAATTGGGAATCATCTAGGCAACCAATTCCGTTTTACCCCACTCCCGGTTCCTGGCCAAAAATCGTTATATTGATCGACCTATTGACCCGAATAGTCGAACCATCAACCCGTTGATCCCTTCAATGGTTTTTGACTATTTTTTTTTATTTTTTTTTTAATTTTTGTTGTCAGAACGGGCTACCCATTCGAATTGGACAAGCTACCTATTCGAGTCACACGCTCGAATAACATAACATCATGGTTTTTAAAACTGACTCGGAGACCAAATCGGTCAAGGATCTGATTACCAGGTTTAACGGTCCGACCTTGACAAAAAATAAGAAAAATAAAAAAAACGGTCAAAATCATTCGAACGATTCAATATCTAGTTATTAACAATATATATAATAACTATTATATATTTATATAATTAGATAATTATAATAACATTATTTATAATTATATATAATAACTATTATATATTTACCTAACAATATTTGTATAATTAATAGGAAATAGATTGCTCTCTCGAAAGAGCATTTTAGTAAATTAACCTCATCTACACCAACTTCGAAGGACAGGGTATAATCTATATAATTTACCCTTTTTCTAAGGAAATAATGAGATGAGACTTAACACTTTACCAACTTGAGATGAAAGTTGCTGGTGAGGCAGCATCTCTTGCAATTCAAATTTAAGGTGCTGGTCGTACTATTATACGAAGTATACGATGCAGATGGTGCACTGCTTTTTTAAAAGGACCCTGCTTGCTAAATTTTGTTACCGAGAGAATTCTTTGATTATATGATGCAAGCAAAACCGTATGTTTTCTATGTAGCAAATTTTTAAGAAATTTAAATGATAAATATATTTAGAGCTTTAGGCTGTGTTTGGTTGCAAATTTGTAATGCAAATAAATTTGTACTTAATGCAAAACTATGATAGTGCAGTTTTAATGTAATTCTGACCCTTTTTTTTTTTCAAATTTTAGCTTATTTTTATTTGATTGCAGTATAAATGAAGTAAATTAAGACACAAAGCAGAATAAAACAAAACTCAAAACAAAATTAAATGAGAATTTACATTTTTTTTTTAAATTTACACTTTCATAAATTTATACTAAATAAATAAAATTGCACTGCAATCAAAACGCAGCCTTAAGAAAATAGAATTGCAAAAGATGTATTGATAACTTGATAAGAAAGCCACATGTCCGATATTGGATGATCAGTTCTCTAGGTTTTGTCAAAGGAGTTGAGCAGTTGGTGACCAGTTGCACAACTGAAGTTTTCATGTTGGCCCAATAAATTACGTAGGTCCCATTTGGTTCACTACTATAAGCCCGTTTTATGGGCCATTTTTCTGAGTTCTGATTGAGGCCAAAGAACTTGACCCAATCAGGAATCAGTCTTCGTCTCTTCGACACCAGCAATGCATACATTTTAGAATACCTGTACAGGGGGATTGACTAACACAGAATTTTAGGGGTCAATGGGTGATCAGGAAGCCAAACTGACGGTTTATATAGTGTGATTTTGCATTATGTGTTGCAATTATAATTGGATTGGGTTGGAATCAGGATTGATTGTATTGACTATATCATGATATCATCATTATCATCTAAACCTTATCATGGTCGGCTACATGAATTCAGTTTCGTCATTCTGTTTTGTTTAATGCCAAACTTTTTGTTAAATCAAGAGGCTTAAATGTAAACTTATATCTTTATTTTATCATTTTATAGGTTCTGGTTCATAACTGTTTCTACACATTAACTTAAATAGATAGATGGGACCATGTTTACCTGACCCGGACCAGACAGACCCAATCCATTGACAGCACTACACAAAGTACAAAGGTTTTTAAAATTAATCCGGAGAATGAACCGGTCAGGGGTCCGGTTCCCGAGTCAAATGATCGGCCTGTTTTGACAAAAAAAAAGGGTTAAAATCATTGAATGGTTCAACCATCCAGGTCAGCGGTTTACTGACCAAATCAACATTTTTTTGCAAATATTTGATTTTGGAAAAAAATGAAACCGGTCACCTGATCGGTTTCCAGTTTTTCTGATCCGATCGTATGGTCCGATCCAGTTTTAAAAACCATGCAAAAATACTGTTGCATATTGTCGGGTTAAAAATCTATAGTTTATAATTTAAAAGGCTCAGTTTGAAAAGAATACAAATACAAATATATACAAAATAATATAAAACATACTCCTCCCAAACTGAGCGAAAGGAACATTTTATTAAAATAGCATTT